TTTTAGTTCCGGAAAGAAAGATTCCGTGCAATTTGAAAATCAGAAATTGTGAAAGAATCATTTAAAAAATTTAAAGTTTTGATAGTAAGGTTTTATGGACATTTTAGATCCGGAAAATGCATGGATCAGGAAAAGAAGATTCCATGCAATTAAGATTCAGAATAGTAAGTCAATCAGAATCGTAAGAACAGAAAGAATCAGAAAAACTTTTGATAGTAAGATTTTTTGATTAAATTTTTTTGGAAGTGAGATTTTTTGGGAATTTTAGTTTCGGGAATCGACAATGAAAGATTTCTTGGAATTTTGTGTTAAGAAGGGCTTCGAAAGAAAGGTTTACAGGAATTTTGATACAGGAAAGTTTACAGGATGGTTTAGGAAATTCGGGAGGAAGGATGCATGTAATTTTAATATCAGATTGTTAATAGATTTGTTGGGAAAGGATTCGAAGGAATGTTTTTCAGAAATTTTTGCGTAAGTTGATATCAGATAGAAAGATGTCATGGTCACTAAGAATCACTAAGAAAATTTTTGAAAGAAAGATTTTTGAAAGTTTTAAACAATGTTTTGATAGTAAAATTTCGTGGAAATTTTAGATCCGGGAAGAAAGATTCCATGCTATTTGAAAATCAGAAATTGTGGAAATAATCATTGAGAAAGTTTTGGAAAGAAAGTTTTGGATGTAAGATTTTATGGAAATCTTTGTTCCGGAAAGCAAGATTCCTATAATCTGAAAATCAGAAATTGTGGAAAGAATTATAGGGAAAGTTTTCGAAAGAAACTTTTGATAGTAAGATTTTATGGACATATTAGATCCGGAAAAGAAGATTCCGTGTAATTTGAAAGTCAGAAATTGTGGAAAGAAACATTGAGAAAATTTTCGGAAGGAAGGTTTTCAAAATTTTCGAAAGAATGTCTTGATAGTAAAATTTTATGGAAATTTTAGTTCCGGAAAGAAAGATTCCATGCAATTAAGAATCAGAAGTTGTGGAAAGAATTATTGAGAATGTTTTCGAAAGAAAGATTTTTGAAAGTTTTCGAAACAAACTTTTGATAGTAAGATTTTATGGAAATTTTAGTTCCGGAAAGAAAGATTCCATGCAATTTGAAAATCAGAAATTGTGGAAACAATCATGGGAAATGTTTTCGAAATAAAGTTTCGATAGTAGTATTGTATGGAAATTTTAGTTTTGGAAAGAAAGATTCCATGCAATTTGAAAATCAGAAATTCTGGAAAGAATCATTGGTAAAGTTTTCGAAAGTAAGTTTTGATTTAAGAAGGTATTCGAAAGGATTCCCAGAAATTTTTCCCAGAAGATTTGATAGATCCCAGAAAGATTTCATGGAATTTTGATGTTATGATGGTTTCAGAAAGTTTGAAACAAAGTTTTGATTTTAGGATATAAGTGTCACAATTTAACAGGTATAGTAGAAGAATGTAACAATGTAATATCATGGACAGATATCATGGATGGAAACAAAGTATCATGGATGTAACAAGTGTACTAGCGGGATCAGCGTGATATTCGATCAGCATCATATTCTCTTTTAAATGGATTACTTGGCATTGACCGATGAAATTTCTGTTCCGGTACTTTTTCCATCTCAATCGCTTGCCAAGGATTATTTTTCGTTATGAAGGTTCATTTTAAGTTACAGTCTCGAAAACTAGATTATGAATTCTGCTGAGACCTTCTGTGCTTGTAGAGAATTGAATTTGGAATCAAACGCGAAGGTTGCGCTACGACGACTTCTCGTTGTTAACTTTCACAGCTACGTTCATTCTGTTCGTTTTGTGCGCTTTTACGAAGCGTTTTCCTCTAATTGTCTCTCCTTTCAACGTTCGGACGCGCTCGCGTATGAAAGTGCACTTTACCTTCCCAACCTCTCATCATTGAGTAGCATGGTGCTTTTTGTGGGAGTTAAATAAAAGCTTTGCAAGTAACCATTTTTCAGATACTGTAATTTAATATCAAATTTAACGAATAACAGTTGCTGTTATTTGGATATTTGTAGCTGAATATGAAAAGTTATGTATTGGTATTCTCTCAGTCGCATACAAATTTTCGATTAGCTGAATTCGAGAGCGTTTGTTCGTTATATCAGATTGCAACACACTCGTCGAGTTCAATATTAACTGAGGTTCAATTTCTTTTTTATTTATGTTTTGCTTTCAAAGTGGTCAGTTTTTCGTTTCATTCAAATTGAACTTCTGATCGGCGCTTGTTACCCTTTAATCGAATAATTTTGTGTTTAACTTTGGTCGGCAGAACAGACACGTTTGTGCTGATTGCAAGAGAAATTGTGATTGCATAACTGGTGACAATTTCCTCAGAAACATGTTTTCGTCATGGAGTTCGAATCAGATGCGTGCGTTCGGAAGATTCTCTCAAGGTCGATGCTGCTCAAGACAGCGCTGGAACTGATAGCGTTCGGTGATAACTACGACCAACTGGTCAACGCTCTTCGCGCTAAAACCACTCAACTGCAGGTTATACCTCTGTTTTGCTGTTAAGAATGTGCCTAACATATGTGTGCGCCCATGGTATTGGTAGAAACCCAAATAATACAGGTCAGGTCGAGTTTTCCGTTCACCTTCGCATTTTAATCGTTGGTGGAAAAGAGTAACACTTGTTATGCTTGTTTTTATCCTGTGTCGTAAATCATTTCGCAAGTTTGATTAGCTAACTGTAAGCGTTTTATATATTTTTGATTAAATTATGTGAAAACTCGATGAATTAGTTATCAAACAGTTCAATTCGCCATTAGTTTTGTTTTAAGTGATACATTGTAAACGACTAAATATTATCGGTTTAAGAAATACAATTCGCCACAACAGTCATTCGCGATTCGTATTCGTCCAATTGGAAGGAAGCGTGATGCGGCATATTGCAGTCAGATTATTAATGTTCGTTAATTCATTTAAAGTTTCAATAGCGAGAAGATAGCGTTTACGAAGTGTAGACTTAATCGTTCAGAGATTATCTAAGAAAGGCTGTGCGGATCTGACGAATTATGATAATAGATCGTGGATTCAACGATCTAGTTCTGTTATCGTTGTAGGACTTGCATTTTTGTTATTGAAATTTGTATGGCCACAATTGCTTATCGTCTTGCTCTTTTCAGAAGCTAGGAGACGTGTTACCATTGGACGATAGTCCGATTGATCTGGAAAATGCGGAGAATATGTTCACAGTGATCGAAGAGTATAATGGAAAGTCGAATCAGAGTGATTCTTCTCCTGACACTGTCTACTTTGGAAGGCTCGTTAGTAGTTATTGTCACATTTCATTCGATACATCGCCATTCTTCATTGTACCTTAAATAATGACGCAGATGAATGCCGTGAATGATGTAAAGTTTCATTGAATTTCAAATCTTGATGTGGTGAATGTAAATTTCACGAGAAATAGTTCGATTGCCTTTATGTACTGCATATTCAGATTGGTCACGGTCAGTATCGTCTGAAGAATACTTATAATTTGAAAGATCGATGCTACATCGGTAATACAACTATGGATCCAGAGTTGTCTTTTATACAGGCCAATTTAATACGAGCCAGTGCTGGTTCCATTGTTCTGGATCCATTTTGTGGTACAGGTAGGTCATCTTTGCATTTTGTGTTCGAATTGGCATATATGAATTTTAAATTTTTTTCCCATTGGAATTCCAACTCTCAGTAATAGTTTAGAATTGACGGTTATTTGATATTTCGATATTCATTTTGATGTGGATGAAATTATGCAGTTTTTTGAAGCACATCCAGTACAAGATAAGTTGAAATTCATCAAAAAGTTATTATGTTTGTTCAATCGACGGTATGATACTGTGCATTCATTTTCATTAATGTTCTTCGTCTGTGCATTAATCGATCATTTTAGGTGGACTTCTAGTACCCGTGGCACATTTTGGTGGTATTGTTTTGGGTACGGAGATTAACTATCAGATTGCTAAAGCAGTTGGTTAGGAGTTAAATTATTTAATTTTTAATTTACTTTGATATATTCCCACATTTTCCAGTATGTTCTGTTCATTTTTATTTTGTTGTAATGGAATACATTCAAAAAATGAATGAAGTTCAGGTAAATCATCTCGAGTTGGTGTAAAATATCTGACAGAAGAGCAGTCAGTCTATGCGAATTTCGAACAGTATTCACTCGATGATCGTTTCATGTCACTGATAATAGCAGATGCTAGTCAGCATGAAATATGGAGGAGAGCATCGAAGGATAATACTGATGGTGTGGATGAGAATGACGGTATTTTTGATGCGATCGTTGCCGACCGTTAGTTATACACTTAAGTTCTTGAGGTGGTTTTGCGTTTTGCTGCTCTCATGGAAACATATTAACTTCTTATCTCAAATATGCAGTTTTTTGTTTTGCATCATTCGGTCCTTCCAGTGATATCACTATCAACCTGCATTTATTTGATTGTGGTTTGGTTTTGATTGCTCGATTATTCTGCTCTGAATATCTTGAGTCAGCATTCCTTCTTTTCCATTATGATCTAAAGCTGAGGTCAGTTATGAATACTTCATGTTTTTTTTNTTTTTTTTGCAGTCATTGAATGTGTCTTCGTATATTCTAGCACCGTATGGAGTACGCGAGAAAGGCCGTAAAGTTGGTAATAAGGAACGAAAAGCGCATTGGACATTACCTGGAAGTGAACAGTACGCTTGACTTTCTCTTGCTGATTACCTTCGAATTCTCGAAATTTTGATATGATTTGGTATATTGGTCGCATTAACGATGACGAAAAATTCACTGCGAACAGAATTATTTTGTTGTTTCGAAATAAAATACGTTGAAAGTTTGAAAATGTTTTTGTTTATTGATTATGAACCGGAATAGTGGAGTGATTAATCGATTGCAGTGCAACGCATTATCCAGAGAAGAAGAAATACGCTTTGAATTCGGTATTCCTCGACTTGCTTGACTTGGCTGCTCATGTGCTCGTCATTGGTGGAAGGCTATCGTTTTGGTTTCCGGTCTTTCTTGGAGAGTAAGTGCTAATTTTTTATTCCTTTTGAAGCATTTCGTAGGTTATAATACTCTTCAATTCAAAACTCTCCGAAGATCGCTCTTCAGTTCATTCCATTCGTTGTTGTGTTATCAATTTCAACGGAAAGTTTTCATTTCATTCCAAAAGAATTATTTGATTTACTTTGTTATTCTTAATATTCTTCGTTCCTACATGTTCCATTTCAATTTCTAAGCGAAAGTTATTGTTTTGGATTAATCGAAAGCAATATCCTCCATTTGTGCCTTCTAATGAGGTAATATGTGTGCGTTTATCATTCTCTTAGCCATTTTAAGAGCCATGTGCAGATTCGGTGAATTCTTTGATGATCTTAGACACTGAATTCGCTGTTAACATGCGGTATTGTTTGAAGTTGGCACATTGATTTAATTAATCAGTTTCAAACTGGCTGTAAATGCAGATAAATAGCGCAGTTTGACATGATTGTTGAATGCTTGAACAGTGTTTAAACAATTTTGAACACGTATGTTTATGGCAGCATTATGAGTGCATTGGTCACATAAGAAGATTGACGTATAATGAACATTTTGAATTGCATTCAGTTCAGAGTAGCTGATATGAGCAAGTGGTGTGATATACAGTTAGAGTGATGTGTCATTTGTTGTGTGAAATGTAAATGCGTATTAGTCGATTGTTGTATGTTAAAGCAGAACGTGAATGAACATCGTTCAGTAACCGTCAATGCATGAACCGATCAAGTTGTTTTAAGCGGGACAGCAAATGAATGGGGGTTGTTGAGCATCTCGAGTGTAGTCGGTAACTGAAGCAACGCATTTGTATCCAGTAGGGCAGGATTCATTCTCATCGTCGATATTCGGTGTACATGGGATCAGACTGAGATCATCTTCTGATTTTGAACTGGATGGGCATTCTGAAATGAAACAATTCTGAATCTTTCATTTCATACTTCTGGCATTTCATATAATGTTGTTAAAATGAGTCATTTCGGAAACATCGAATTTGAAATTATTTTCTTCTTGAATTTCATTTCGTCTAGTTCTTTTACACGAATCAAGAGAAATCAAATTCGTCACTAAGTATGAGCAAATTACGAAAAAATCTCACTCGCAATAGATAAAACTTCAATAGGTATCATAAACGTTTACAGCTGTTGAAAAGACAAACTTGGCATAACAGCATCGTTGAGAGGTTTACAGCAAATGTGACTTTTTGTAACGATACTGAATAGGCATTGGGCGTTCGAGTCTGCGCAACGTTGATGTGCCGAACATTGTGAAGGCTCGCCGCGTTGAAGCCATGCATGATAGCATTCATCTACTAGAAAGATAACGTTCACTTTGCATTGTTATTCAAGAAATATCATTTCTACTTCATTAGTCATTTGCATTATTCATTCAGTTGTTCGATAATGAATTCATGTTCGTTTTAACATATGCCTATCACAATCGTGTTATCATTATCCCATTTGTGCACTCATTGTCTGCAAGTGGCCAACCACTAGCATCCTCATAAATTACCATTCTGTTGACAAGGAAAGATTAAGTAATACCCAGTGGTATAATTGATTAAGGGCCTGAAACTTCTTCCATACAACCTATGACCTGGTCTCTATCTATCAGAAAACAAAACTGAGTATTCGTTTCTTGGGAAGAAAAATTAGTGTTGAAGACTGGCAAGAAATGCAACAAAACTTACAACAGGATGCGACACTGATGAAATATGCAATTATGATGAGAAGGACGTTCATTTGTACTGGATTCTGCAAAATGAATTATTTGTAGTGTTTGTCGCTTAATAATATTCGATTCCTGATTCGATACCCGGCAAGAAACGAATCGTAATTACAAGATATCTCACCGCAGTTGCGGCTTCTTAATCTGAGCTAATAACCGTGATAATCACTTCATAAATGCGCGGACAATCTACTTGAAAAACTGAAACAAATTGGGAATGAACTATCCGTTCAAAGGATATCCCACGTGACATCTATTTGATTGGAAGTGGTAAATTGAGGTGGAATTCACGTCAATTCAGTGGGTGATTAGCTGCGAATGATCATCCAAGCGAATTGTTGCGGATTTATATAGCTGTCGCGAATGTAAACACACATTATTGTGTTGCATTAAAGCCGGCATGCAAAGTTACAGTAAATGTGCCATCGCTAACAAACAATTCGTTTGCTGTCCGTCATTGTGTTATGCGTCTATTTCGTTACCTATTGTTCGTCAGTTAACTCATGCAACAGACAGTTCCATTTGATCTGTGGTGTCATAATCGTTTGACGTTGACTGTGAATGCTCACAATAATCACTTTGATCCATTGTTGCAGATAAACTCCATTCTGTTTTTTTTTNTTTTTTTTTGATTCACGCTTTGAGATTAGTCGTTGTTTAAATAGCAAAACCGGCTCGTTAAAAAGTGAAATTTCTTTGGAACAGCTGTTATAATTTTGATTCATCCTAAACTCCCTTTTGCATGCATTCATTATGTATTTGATAACCGTTTTTTGAAAAAAATTCCATCCGTACTTGGTACAAATTTTCATGAAATGATGACGTTCACGTGGGGCACTTATGATGGTTTTGTTCGCGTCGTGATCTATAAATAAGGAGCACAGTGCTTTGTAGAGGCACTGAAATTTAAATTCGTTGTTTTAATGTTGTAAATTTGATGAGAATGGAACTGTGTCTTTTCATCACATGTCGTAAGAAATGAATCATGAGCTGTGATCAAGAAAATGACTGTGATTTCTTGATTCACACTGTATGATCATTCCTTCTTTTTTCATGTTTCAAAAAGAGTTAACTTGCATTTTTATTTTCAGGTATTCTGAGGCTGTACTTCCCCGTCACAATGCATTGAAATTGGTCGCCAATTGTGAGCAGCCTCTTGGTACGAAATATTCCAGGTAAATAGGTTGTATTTGCAGGGTTCTGTAACAATCTAAAAACAAGCTTTGCTTAAGGACGAACCGTTTTGTTTAAGTGATAATTCTGTTTTTGAATTATTCTTTCCTTTTCAAACGTAACCCGATCAACTTTCCAACTTGATCACCACAAAAGTGTAAAGTGTTCCCAGGCCTATGAGCGTGTAATAACATGCACTTCGCAATAGGATAGTCTCTTGTTTGCACGATGCAATTCATATCTCTTTTATTGGTCTTAATTGAGGCGAAAACAGTTTTATGTGTCTGACATAGTTCAATAAATTGCTTTCGTGATTCAGTTAAAGCGTGCAGTTTTGTTTGTTTGCTTGTTGCCTTTTATGAGTGTCCGTCAAAACAGTTTATTCAGAGAAACGTTACATATGTCTGTGATGAATTCGATAAGTCGTTAGGGCAGGAATAAGTTGTGACACATTTGGCTGCTTTCTGCATCTGATTGCATCATGTTGTTATGATGGGCACGGTGTATTTATTCGTTTGTTCATTGACTACATAGATCAGCGGAGTGTCTGTCGATGTGCTGTCTGCAATAACAACTTGTATAATAGTTCACAAGAGGAAATTCAAATCACAGTCACGACTCGATTAGCTGTGAGCGATATTTTTTCCGATTGTAACTTCCGTGTTTCCATAAGTTTATTAATTTGTTTTGTTTTAAGGCGTCTTTTAGTATATGAGAAAACTCGAGCACGAAGTGACGGCGATAAAGCGTTCGTTGAGGAAGACTGTTATGCGGAGACGACGTTTCGACAACGAATATTCGTCAATAATGATTAATCTTCTTATACTGCATGATCGCAGTTGTGATATTGACTTGTTACATTGCTGGAGATATGAGGGCTTACGCAAGAATAATTTATCAAGCGAAAATGAATTAACCACCAGCTCGTGTAATTCAACTTCAGTGTGAGCTCTTGGATAGTCATCTTGCAATGTTTAATCCGATGTTTCAAGTGATTTTGTATTTTGTTGAAATTCCGAACTTGAAGATGTAATATGGTTCGATTCGTTTAACAGTCATTCCTTTTAATATCTAACCGCTGTTGTTTTTAGATGCATTTGTTGGTATTGTTGTTGTTGCCAGCTGTAAATGATGGTGCTGTTATTATACTGTGTTCAAAAATTGCTTATCACTTGCGTTCATTGAATTGACTTCACTTGTTGAGCTAAAGGAAATGAAGTTATTTTGCTAATTCAGTGGTTCTCAATCTCATTTTTGTCTGCACCTCCTAAAAAATTTCAAAATGTCATCGCACCCCTTGTTGAATTCATCTAAAAATAAAAGTAAACGTAAACGGAAGAATTTTCTATGATTAATTCCAGTAACATATGAAAAGTTGTCATTTAGAAAAGAAAAATATTGCAAAAAATAATTGCGTAATGTCGCAATAAATTTTCATGCGTGCATGAAATTTCTTTGATTTTGACACGCTTGAATTCAATGACCTTTGTTCTCGATGACTGTCAAAGCGTGGCACTTTGTTGCTGATAGCAATGCACATGTCTGTCCGTGCACCCAAATCATTTCTTGATTTTGCCTTAATTGAGAAAATGGCACAAATTTTAACTCGCGTAATTATGTCGTTGCAAATGTGATGAGCGCATTCAGCGATTTTTTATAAATCCTTGAAAACTTGTCCATTCCCGTACAACTCCTGGAATACTATCTCGCACTCTTGCTTGAGAAACCCTTGCTAAGCGAAACAACCTGGCGGATTTCTCTTCACTTGTTTATCGACACGAGAGATAGTTATTTTCATGGGTTTGCANTTCTGTTCTGAACCGTGGAACCTTGAGTTCGAAATTTTATGCAGTTGAATTGTGTTTACAATACGAAGAATATTTATAAAGTTTATCAATTTTACCTGATTGCTGACTGCTATAAGCATTTGTTAATAAAGCTCAAAAATATACACTTAACGTTATTTAATTATGAAACAGCAATATACAATTCCGTTAAACATTATTATATAGTGGTAAGCATATGCATATGAACGAAGAAAAACATCATGTTAATGAAAGAATACGTATAGAATAATTTTAGATATCAGTATTCCCCATAAGAATTTAAATATATATTTTTACGCAGCTTATTGATGTATACAAATGCAAGTCGTTTGTGGTCTAGTCAATCTCTTATGGCTATAAAAATGGTTGGATCGTGGTCAGTTTCCGGCTAGACTCGTTAAAATCACCCTACATTCCAAAGACATTTGAAGTGGTTTTGCATTTGTATGATCATGTGAACAAAGGTATGAACAGCTCTTGATAACAATGATCAAAAGCAGCTCTTATTTACGTATTTCCCTAACTATAAGGCGCACTTAATTTTCTCAAAAAACGACAGTGCGTCTTACCCGAAGCGCCTTATGTATGGATTAATTCTGGTTACTGACCTCGAAGTGAATGGTTATTGTGAATGTGTTCAATGAAGTTTGACTGATCTTTTTTGACTTATCAGACTGTTTTGTTTCCCTTAATGGACTCATAGTCCGGTGCGCTTTATATAAGAAAAAAGCCCTAAAGTAGACCATTCATTGACAGTGCGCCCTATAGTGCGGAAAATACGGTACATATAACCGCGTGGTGCCACAATGCATGCTATCATGAAGGTGGGAAATTCTCATGAAGAAAGATGATTGTTTGAGAGGGAATAGCCAGTTGAATGTGTGAAATGATACAATTCCATGCAATTGATTCAATGAACCAATTCAGAAACGATGAGCGCTCAAACCCCCATTTGAATCATTCGAACTAGACGATAACAATTCATGGCTCTGCAACTGATTCTATGCTTCGAGTATTCGAGTACAATTTGATCGAATAAAATTTTTGCGACGAAAATCACGAATTGAAAATGCAATTAAGTAATATGCATTAATCTGAAACTGAAGTTTCTCTCCTCAGTTTGACTGCATTCCTGATTGCTTTCACTCAAAAGTGAAACTGAGAACACTCGAAAGAATAAACTGAATTCACATCATAATCTGAATTCACTTCGAGAATCATCATATCATAATAACATCTACTCTCTCTTTGTTTCAGTCCTGAGGTCACGATCAAAACAATGTTTTTCTTGAATTTTTTGGACGAAATTTCGAATATCCGGGAAATCGTCATTGCAAACCACCATAAATACCCGCACATAATGATAACTGCAAAAATCAGAATGGATCAATTTTTAAGACAGTTAAGATGTAAACACTATTCTTATGAGTTGGTTTGCTCAGTGACACGTTTCCAAAATTCAGCTCGCCTTTCGCAATAACCATTCATCATTTCAGTTTTAAGATCAATTTTCAAATATCGATCAGCACATTCCCTATTCACTGGTTCCCAACTGAAGTCGGTAAAATTGTCGCACTTCTCCGAACCATTTGGATTCCTTCAATAATTATCATGATTATTGCTATTATCGTCATATTTTACTCCTATGATTATTATCAGGAAAGACACTTATGTGCTTTCATTGTGAGTGTTGTAGCCATTGTTATTGTTTGTTACCATGTTGTCCTTTGCGCTGAGAGAAAAGTTGGTTGCTTTTAATGCTTGTGCAAGTGGGAAATGATGATCCGGTAAGGACACCATACGGATGCATTCTCATATTGTTTTATAAAAAGGCAATGAATCAGTGAATCATAAATAAGTGCATGCTCAGAACTAGCTTTTCGTTTACTGAGCATAGCAGAGAACTTGTCAGCTTATTAACAAAATCACTGAGATAAAATCGACTAGCTCGTCTCATTGCATAAGACAACATTAATCTGCAATGAGCGTAATATTTTCGAATCAGTGGAATGATCGGAACGGGGCCTCTTCCGCAAGCTTTCTGCTGAGAAGGGGTGGGACCAAGGGGAGACCGTGATGATTTCTGATGAGTACTTCAATTCTTGGTTGCGGAGGAATTTTCAGTGCCAACAGAAGCATCCGCAGGATGAGCATCATAAAATAGAATTTATGGTGGCGGTGGGGGATTTCGAAACCGCCAAAGGGGTTCGCACTCTGTGTTTGTACCTTGATGAATATGTTTCAAAACAACACAGATCATTTCAAGTTGCGGACTGCGCCAATAAAATGTTCAGGTTTTTCGACGTCCGAGGACGAAAATGTAACGAAGATTATTACCGAACATTCTCGTTCTATTGTTGTTTATTTGCTGTGAAATATTCTCCACTATCAGCATAAATGTAAATAACAATAATGATATGAAAATTTTACCCGTATTTAGCGAAATTAGTCCAAAGTTTAGTCATTAGGTCAGTTATACTTCGATCATTTTCATTAAGTTTGAATGGGAATATTATACTTTTTCCAAACAAATACGTCAGTTCTGTACAGTGAGTTGCACCTGAAATGAGAAACTTCAAGAAATTCATGCAACAAACTATGCATATTTGCATTCACGTTAGAGGTAGATCCATTTCATAGAACAGCTGTTCGAACATCTTCAGAAAATTGGACAGCGTTCGTGAACTCCATGAATTGTCACAAAGTGGACGTTGTGATCGAACTTAGGACAGCTGATCCAGCTTGTTTCATCGATTACAATTATCATCCACTTCACGTAATCTTTGCTCATGTTAACTGACGCGAACTGATGCAGACGTGGTGGGGGAAACAGAATGAAAACGCAAAATATAATGGAGAACCTTTGAAGGGAAATCGTAACGAAAGAATTCCAAAGCTTTTCGGGTTGAAGTATTCAAATGAATACAAAAATACTTCATGTCCTCGTTCAGTCATTTGTTTTGCATACTCATAAGTACCGTTATTGACGAACAGGTCGCTGAATAGCTGAAACCTTGCATACATTATTCCTAAAATGCTTTTCGCTAAAGAAGCGTTCCTCAAATGGTTTTGGCTTTTGATTGAGGAACACTAAATCAGCTGTAATTCAAGAAGCGATTTTGAATGAGTCAAGGTGACCCTTATAACTCAGCGGTTTTCGTTTTTCAATCCTTCACGTGTTCTCGCTCACGGCAACGTTTCACCTTTCACATTCCCTCCCGAACGTCAACGTTCACATTCATCATATCATCGATACTAACAATGAATTTGAAACAATTTTTCCAGGACCATTTTATGTTATTCCCTCATAAAATATCACACCTGTACGTTGTCTGCTTAAACGATTTAGGAGGTCCTGTCAAAATGGATGAAAGCATACTGTAAAAAGGAAGGGGACCGTTGAATAGAAGAAGTCGAGATAGATAACCGAATGTAAACAATAACGATAATTTTTGGGAATCGATAGGATAGGATTGTCGCTGAAGTGTCATTCCGAAAGGATTAATTTTTAGATGGGGTAACGTTTTGGGGTTTAAAGTTATGGAAATAATGAAGTGAAGGTGACGAGAAACCTGGCAGGGGCGCGCGCTTCTCTTCCCTGTACGCTGGGAGAAATGGGGGAAAGAGGGGAATACAAAGGAAAAGGGTGGAAAGGGAGACAGAACAGGAGGAAAATAAACAAGGGAAAGGATGTAAAAATAAACGTGGAGATATCCATCTTAAAATTCACTCTTTCTTCTTATTATGATTACATGAAAACTTCTCTCCTCAAAGTGACACTTCACTGACTTCACAATTGAGCACTGTGCATGATCCTGAGCCAGAGCCTTAGTTTCAGCCTGACCTACGACCTGCCTCAGCTAGAATTGAGAAGGTCGGTTTTTTAGATCATGCGTGCAACTTGGCTCCCCATACAGGTGTAAACTGACTACTCTACCATGAATACAATTCGGCTTCTGATACAGGAGCCGTTTTCGGGATCAGACCATGCTGCGCCTTCCTCATGCCACTGCTTATAGACGATTGAATGTTTGCTTACAGATGTTTGAATTTATTTTGTATCGCTGAACCGGGTGAAGATTTTGGGATTGCGTATTTTAAAATTTCCAATGAATTGCGAAAAATTGGCGAATTTCCGTGAACTCCAGAATATGGAATTTTTGAATTGTAGGGAGTCGGAAGACTAACTTCCTTCGGTCACCATCACTACTTTGAAGTAAGGTTAGGCCGAGAATTCCCCACCTCGGAATCTCGAAAACCTTCGAGGGCTCCCTAGTCTCGACGAGCCCTGAGCACCTACGAAATCTTGGACGCCTCCGTTCAGGCCTCAACCTTATGCATTCCTTAGCTCAATTTCGCCGCCCGACCGACTCTAGATTGAAGTATCTTTATTAGAATTGCTTTCAGGTGGATATTTACGGTGTGACTGATTGCGACTATCGCGAATGAGAAAAGACGTGCGGTAACGCAACAACCTATGAACTTACGTTTACGAACGCCTTTGACATGAGATGTTTATCGTTTGAAGACGTTCCCTTTTTACCCAAATACAACTGAATTGCTTCATTCCTCAGTTCTCTCCAGTTGGAAAATTTATCTTCTGGGATCGTTAACGATAATAACTTTTCAATACCGCGGAGGTTGAATTGACTCGAGCTGAGTGAAGCTGAAATGCTCAGCTTTTCATCATCATAAAGATTCAATTGATAGAACTTCAGTTAATGAACTGTCTCATTTACACTCCTACCGCAATCTGAGTTTCTGAAAAGAATTTCCCCGAATCCCCTCCTCAGAAATTTCGACATCCACTTCAAGTTTCGGATGAATCGATGATGAGAATTGTTCCGGTTTTACGCTTCTCAGGACTCCTTTTCGAACATCCACCTTCGTTAAATGGCTATTCGCATCAATATCGTCAGTCCAATTAACACATTTTTTTGAGAGTGCTTACACAACTTTTTGTCAGATTTGTCAAAAATTTTTTCGTCTTCTTTTGCCAAATTCGCGCACAATTTCAAAACTTTATCTAATTTATTGTACATGCCAACTGATGAATTATGAGAAATAACTTGAATGAGTTCAACCTGGAGCTTATCAAAAATTTTTATGAGAAACCGCAAAATAATGTTATCAAATATAATCAAATGTGAATTTATATGTGTACTATGGAAGTAGTCTACGAGAATGCAATTGAATTGTGAATAGGACGTACAATGAGAAAGTCCTTCATAGCACTTTAAACATTCAGCGAACGCACTTCATACTCCAGTTGAAGTGCGATGTTTATTTAGAATTGCATTTTGGATTGTCAGTATAATAATTCAAACGAACAAGTAATCCATTCCAAAATGTTTCTCATTTAATGTTTTGAATGAATTCAATAACTCTTTTCAATTTTCAAATGCTATACAACATGCCAATAATTGCCGTGATATATTCACTCGAGTGGTCATTCAAAATCATTGCGAATGAATTTCTGAAACACTTTGATAATCACTCTCATCAAATTTCATGACTGCGCTCGTAATCTTTCATTGACATCCCACGCCATCAACTTGTTCTAATTTGATTTTTTCCTGCTCTACTCTACTGTCAACGAGCAGGAATGCATCATGATATATATCATATTCCTCGATCTGAATTATTAATGTGACAATTCATCAGAATTCAACTCGTACCACATAGTAAACAAACATATTGCACACGCACATCTTGTTCATTTCCGAGCAAACATACTTATTTAAGTCTCATTCAAGCAATTTTGAATGCTTCAGCCATTCAGTTTCAAAAATCAACAAACCGAAAATTAGTCCCTCGTATTTGCATGTCCCAATCATGCACTTTTTTAATGGTGCCTCGTTTCTTAGTTCATCGATCGGTCTCGGCAAGAAATCACCATCAATAACAGGTGCTATGTCAAGACCGATCTGTTGCATGTTCACTCCGCCTCTGCCCACTAAACCACGTGCAAACAGCTTGGCCGGTTTTGCTCGCAAATATTCCGTCAACTCGACTTGTTTCTTCTGATCTGAAACTATTTGCTACATTCAGTGATGCAATCATTTCAGTGCACTCTTGAATTTCATATGCTCATTGAGCGCAAGTGATGAAGTTAACAAAAATAGCCCGTCATCATGTAAATTACATGCATTAAAATCATGACGTAAATTTTCGATTATTTTAATGAGGCCTTGTTAGAATTCAACTTTACTGTATTCAGTTAGTGGATTACCATACCTTTACGTTTGCTTTTCCATCCAAGTTTCTTTGCAAAACTTTTACAGGTGTTTGCTACTCGAGCCTTCTCGCTAATAGACCAAATGCATTCTGCATTCCCAGCCATGGGTATCACTTGTTGAAAAAGATCTGAAAATCGTCAGCAACGAAGTCATGAAGTCAGAATGTTTTTGTACTTATCACATCAACCAGGTTGTACTATTGACACACAATGGGTATTTCTTTTCAGTGCATTTTGACTTGTTAAATTCTCATTTAATCATTCGGAATAAGGTATTGTAACAACTGCAACGTACGTGATGAGTGCGGTGACAACGACAGCAGGTCCACACTCGCACCGCCAGCGCTTTGGCCGAAAACTGTGACTCGCTTAGGATTGCCGTTGAATGCTGCGATGTTATCCTCAAATTGAATCCTTTTTGAACATCGGTTCATGGTGCAGAATTTTTGTTGATGCTAGGGGAACCCAAATGGCGGAAAAAATCATTATCCTTTACAAAATACCGGGTTTGTTCATCTATATCCAAGAGCAAATGATCGAATGAACTNCGAACTGTCCCGAAAATTTTCTGATCACAAGTAAATTTGCAAAGATTTTGAGAAGTAGTACAAAGCAAGGAATAAACTGAATTCTTCAATCCCAAAAATGCTCTCATGTAACGTCTGAGGTGTGAGTGCTTACCTGAACCCATTGTAACGCCATTGTTTGATCCCATAATCCAAGATTACCCTTACAAATGTCATCGTCAGTCGTCAAAAATCCCAGATAACCTAATCGGTATTGTATTGTCACAACCACCACTCCATGAGGGCACAAATTCCTGTAGCGAACAATATTTTTTCCTCAGGCACTGCCATTCGATGCCCATTGAAACGGCATTCGTTTTGAATTCTACGCAGAATTCGCTCAAAACATGAGAATTATTAGGCTTCAACCAAACGTTAAGATGGATCTACACTAATCTCTTCATTCAGAACATCAATCACTTCAGAAATCTTTGTCAGCATTGAAACTAGTCACTTCGATTACAAGAAAAAAAATGAAATCCTAAAGGAGGAAATCACTGAAATAATCCTAAAAAGAAAATGTTTATTGAAAAATCCCTCAATATTACACTATAAATATGCCGCACTATCGTCATATAATGATTTTTCTGGATCATACGTTAATTAGGAGAGATTACTTTTTATATTTCACATGTAATGGTTGAGGATATTGGAAATGACCATTGACGATTAACTCATTTTCGGATATTGAAATTAAAAAAACTTTTAAAAGTAGAACTTTCCAAAAATGCATCGTTTATGCGTCTACAGATGCAGGAAATGCAAATTTTACGTTAAGTGACAGGGATCAGGTCATTTATGACTGATTAAAAATATGCAAATTTACGTTTTCTGCAAAGTTATTTTGAAAAATTGAATTACGAATGCATCATTGACGGTATGGTATTGTTTCACATTGACACTTTAAATGATGGAGTTAATACATATTACTCTTGATTTAATCGAATTTCGTTTTTATGTCTTTAAGGTTATTCAACTTCATTTCAGTCGTTTACGCAGCATAAAATGAAACTTTTGATCTAATTCTACTTCCAATCTGTTTAACCCAAGACTGTTCAAGGTTAATTTTCCTCGAAGAAGCAGCTTTCTGTCTGAGAGGAACCCTGCCTAATTGTAAGCATTTTGTCGGGGAAAGGATTCTGCTGAAAAAGTACCAACAGTTGCTCCCTTCATATCTTCGACGGACAATAGCCATTGTCAGATAAAGATTATTCGGATGTAAATCAAACTTGAATGAAAACCTTCCTTTTATGTTGCACAAGCGATTCAACTGAATCGAAAGCGAACTTGAGCTTCTTTTTGCACTGAGAGCCCAACGTTTCCATTTTGGAACAATGCAAAAACCCATAAAAAGATCAAAACTCGGAAAGTTTAAGCTTACATTTGTTTAGATAGCGTAAACAGAGCAGCGTATTTTAAACATTCATTTTTATACTCAAAGTACTTCAATGTGCTGACCCTAAAAGATTAATCTCATAATTGCTTAAGAAAATCGCTTCATCCGCTCATTACTGGATCGATTATTTTTCGAGTCCAAATGTAGATAAAAAATTGGGGAAGTTTCGTTGAACGATAGAATGGAATTACAAAATGGAAATGTTCAAATCGATTATACAATTAAAATATTATGCTATTAAAACTGAATGCAGTTTTTCCTTAATTGTTATTTGCTAAATACGGAATGCACCCTCACGAGAATAAAAACTCATTGTTCTCAATCAGAAATAAACTGTAACTGATAACCTATCAATAACAATTGATATAACTTCAATGCAATTATTCATTAGAGTTAATATCTTAGCACACACACACACACACGAAAAGAACGTTAAAATGTCATAATATTTGTGTTTGCTTCGGTGATATGTGAATGTAAAAATGTTCGATTGCGTTAAAGCGATTGCTCGTTTGTATGGTGGACAGATGTGTTTTGTGATAAAATGTGTAACAAATTGACGTTACCGACAAATGCCAATATCTCCGTAGTTAACTGCCGAATCGATAAGAAAACCGCCACCGTGAACGAATACCATGACGGCAAAACCATCTGGCTACAATAAATCACTCTTATTCATTGCGTCATCACTCAACTCATATTATTTAATGATCATCTGGAACGCTGTTCGACTGACTGATTCACATCGCATACCTATGTTAATCATGTTATTTCGATCGTTTTTCCCCAGCACTCAGTTTTCAGATCGAAGTTCTCGTACGATTCACGTGAAATAAAGTCTCAATTAATCATATGCATAATTGAAACAATCGAGGATTCTTTATAGAACCAACCGAAACGTTGATGCTATCGGACGCTAAATATAGCTGAAGTGAGTCTAACCTTAAGTTCATGCATTTTCAATAACGACATGCTTCGCATGCAGAAAGTATCCAAATTTTCGTTTTTGAAAGAGTCATGATGCCTATCACATCAGATTTCTATGAAATGTTGTTGATGAAAAAGTAGGCGTATCAGGTGATATCATGAGTGTGTTGAACAAAATTGTTATGAGCCAAGCTCTTAGAAGCTGAGAGATTAGGTTCTCAATGCTGCATCAACTGAAGTATAACTCGCTCTGTTCCATGATTAATCAAAATCATTCTCACTTTTTGATCGATGTCTATGCAATAAATCGATCAGAAAATAAGACATACTTCTCAGAACGATCTTTCAAATTTTATGCGGCTGTTCGAAACTGAAGAATTGATATGATACTGTAACAATCCTAGATAACGCTGGCATGACCAAGTGAATTTGTCTTTTAGTACCAGCACCAACCTGATCATTGCCTGGTTTCCATGACGGCGAAAAAACGTTCAGCGTCAAGCAGTCTTCATCTTTGCCCACCCCAAGCGTCCATCTCTCCCAAATAAAATCAATTTGAGGTGCCCTTGCACCAAACTTGTACGCTTTGAAAACACCTGGCCAACGATCTGGTGGTTCTGGCTTCTGTAAAATTATCACGAATGTTTCTTAGGGTAAATGCTGCTTGCATCATCATCATTAATAAATAATTGCTCAGTAATTTTGTTATAACCCGAGCAGTAACAAAGCATAACGCATATTCAACATAAATAAACGAAATGAAGCTGAACGTTGTATTTTTGTACTATAAAAAGCATTACAGACAGTCTATTCAAATGAACTGATATTAACGCACATTCCCCCGAATGAATCTCTCGAGCTGAGTTAAGAACAGAACAAGAACCTTAAATCGAAGTGAACCAGTAGGAGGTTTAGCGAAAGGAATTCCCAGAAAAGCATCGACTTGAAGAGATCCTTCATTAACGAGACGTCGACCCTCAACAAGACCGTATTTTGTTTTCACCTGTCGACTCGGAATAACTTCAGAGTCTGATTTAGAGTGAAAACATGATGAAACGGTACCCATTGAAACAATAATTCTGAAAGCTCACGAGCAACACTATAACCTCGAAAATGCATGGTTTCGATGAGTACTATCGTAAATTTTCATCCATGATTACTTTAATTTACCGCAATTCACACCACAAAAAACTTATGATGTGAACTTCAAACCGATTAATCTGCTACGACATTCCGTTTACAAGCAATCAAACTTTAAAATTTCCGATCTTTACTCATGCATTTCATACCGCAACTGAGCATATTTTGAAAAAACTCATTGACAATTCTCTGCAGATAATTTTATGGAGACATACTTTATGGAGACTACCCTCCGAATGAAATGAGTTTGGTAATCATTCAATTATCATTTTAAGTTGTTTATTTTAAAAGTTAAGAATTTAAGCCTCGAAAATTCCATTGCTAAAACATGATTTGATGACGCCTCGGACGTGCATTGTAATAATATGACTTTATAAACGCACATTATGAATAGATCACACTTTTTACTTGCTAATGATGTGAAAATTCGGATTTTGAACAGCATCCATCTCGAATGAATTAGACTATGAGCAATGAATGCTGAGAAAGCCGAAGAGACATCAGTAAACAAGCCTCGAGGAACGGTGCTGATCTGCACAGCTCACAATTCGCTTCTTGGTGAATGCATCCACTTCCATGGAAGGAAACTTATGGAATGATGCTATGCGATATTTGTTCAACAACAATATAGTAGTGAATGAATAAACAAAAATACGTCAGTAAATATGCGTAAGCTTATCAAATTGCTTCGAATGGTGACGTTATGATGCGATAAGAGATCTATCTATACGCATCGCTGTATGCGGGATGGAGAAGAAAAAAGACGGCAAATAAAACCAAACTCTCCGAATGCAATAAATACATTTCCTCTGCCGTGGTTGCAAACTTAGCTGGCTGGACAGCAATTGAATGTGCAATGTTGAATACATTTGTGCTTAATACATCCACTGCCCATAGCCACTCCCCTCTAATACTGTCATTCAGTGCTGATATTTCAAACTTACTTGATCCATCCAGACCACTACTGCATCAATTTGCTGATGTCATATCACTTATTTTGACACATCATTCATCCGGCAAGGACAATCTTATCACATCATTGATCACCACTTGCTGAGTAATCTGATATCAAAGTGGTCATTTAATTTGCTTCCAGCGTTCCGTTTGAATGAATTTCTGTCTGCAGTGAATCATTCAGATGAGAGCCTTCGCATGAACATGCAACGTGCCAGTAGTATCATTGGTACCAATGCAAAAGTGCAATATACCACTCAACAGCTTTATCAAGCACCATCAATGTGCTATCGAAATGACTTTTAACGATTCAATTTCATGATGTCGAAAATTTTATTGGCAAAAAAATCGCATTGCGAAAATTTCAAGACGATTTTCTTAACAATAGCGATCAGCGAACATATTCAATAACATTTGACATTGATGAGTCAACAAGCATTACGCCGAACCAAATATATTCATTGGATTTATGGAGTGCATTTTGGTGAATTTGAAAAAAAAAGATTTTCACGCTTCAAGTCATTCACATTATCACCTACGCATACACCTAGCAGTCATTAATCATTCCTTACGACTACCCTTGTTCTCTTGATAATGAATCATAAGAATGGCTCGCAAATGCAATATAGATTATGCATACAGATGCAGCTAAAAATAACAAAAGTTGCGCTTATATATTATCGATGGACGGGAGACAAGTTCCGTTTCATAACGGATGATCAATGACATCACATAAACGTGATTTAAATCACACAAGCAAGCAATACATTAAGGGTACCGTTTCAACCAAAAAATGCATTTGAAGAATGTTTCTCAATACTAATTACAGAGGTGGACGCATGATCAGATATTCAGTAATAAACGCTCATCCTTCTGAGGATAAAACACGTCAATAACCAAAAACATCATCTTCATCAATGGTGTGAATGAGTGAATGACTCATTGTTGATTATTGATGAAATTTGATTCGACTGTTTAACGTTGGTGTAAAATTTCATCATCTTGGTCATTTATGCGTAGAGATAACGAACGTACTTGGTTAAGAAAATTACGTCTATTTGTACTTGACAGATATCGCACCTGTGTGCAAGGTGATATAAATGAATGAAAAGAAGAGTGATATGGTGTGAATGGATGAATAACTGAATACGTATTCGATTAAATCCGGAGCCAAACACAACATCGTCAACATCGGAACGAATTGGAATTAGAGGGATGAGTTGATTTCGGATTCGCTTCTGCTGAAATACAGTCAATTCATGCACACACCTGTACTGATGTAAGCGTTTATTTCATGATACTCACGAAGGAAGGAGCAGTGGTTGTATTGATGATTAAAGTGGTGTTTTCTAGCGTTGTGCTGCTGACGTTGTGGTCACTTGATAAGAACCTAGTCAACTGAATCGCTTACTCTTTGCTAATTTCTCTGAAACTAATCACCAAACAATGACTTAACAAGTAAGATTATGTAAAGGCATATAGAACAGACAACGGAACATAATTCGAAGAACACCAAATCTCTTGAAATGGTTAAGTAAACGTAAATCATTCCGTGCAGTGTTTCGCCTTTAATTCTAATTAATTCATCATAACGTTCCGCTAAAATATCACGAATAATCATTGTGGAAGGTGCGCAGATTGCTAAATTATAACTGAATAAAATCAGTGCTCTGTTGCCAATGAAATCAACTGGGCGAATGGTCGTTCCACTCGATGAATCAAAATGTGATTCTTTGATGTCAACAGCAGAGTGCGATTGAGGTTATGTGAAGTCAGTTTCGGTGCAACTATCACAATAACATAATGTATCATCAGCATTATTTATTGACTGTGAAACCGTAACAATTATCGTTTGTTTGCCGAGTTTTTCAATGCTATTGTGTGGAAAACATACTGTCAGTTGAATTCTATAGTATAAGTTTCACTGATTTAAGTCTGCAGTTCAGAATATTCACATGTTATGGCTGGTTGTGAGAAGGGCGAAATTCGATCGGATGAATTTGATGTCATGCTGAACTTTCAAGAAATAAACAACGCATGAAATTTAGAAATTGGATGAAAGACGTGCAAATTTAAAGCAACATTTGAATATTGTAAATTTAATGAGAAAAATTTGAAGTTCAAAAATTTATGGGGAAATTTTGAAATTTCGAAAATTATGTAGAAAATGTAAGTGTTNTATGCAATGTTACTTCATAATATACAATACTAATACTACTAATAATGCAAATGTCACTCTTACATAGGAGCATGTGAATTACACGATAAGCGTTTTCTATTCTAAATTCTATTAGAAAGCGAATGTCTAGAGAGTGTGTTCACGGTGTAGTTTGAACGATACTCGAGTGTGTTTAGCGATCATACAAACGTCACATCAATAAATTTATCTGCCACGAACATTTGCTCCATCCTTTCATTCTCATTTCAGCGAAAATACATTGATTTTATTGAAACATTCAGTAATCGTTTTTCTTGTTTACCTGCTCTTAATCTTACCGGATTATTTCCAGCTGTACTTCATCACTCAATTTGTTCAACGACCAGACTGACTCTTTCTTCACTTACTTGAACTTTCTTTCCATCGAATCTTTTCATCTGCGGCAAAAAATCATCTCCATCCCATCGATAGTTAGCACATCGATGTTTGAAAATCAAACAATCACATCTTCGAAACGTAGTAACTGAGGTTGGAAAAGGATCGAGATTTATTTGTTACGGGGAACTATCATCCAAACTTTTTTGTACGGTGCTCAACGATTACGTACGAAATTTCATCTGTTCTATGAAAAAAGTTTGGTTAATTTACGCAGCGATAATATTATTCCTGTACTCATCCATCTGTAATTACTGTTACGGATATTGTAAGAGATCAAAAAAATTGATTTGCGATTTATTTTCATTGCACAAAGCACATAAATTCACGATCGGCAGTAACAATAAATGTTGACAAGCATCACTGAAAACTATTGCATTTCTTTTGATGTTTGTATTGATGCGAGAAACGAGATTATAAAAGTTGCTCGAGGCGATTGCATTCATAATACTTGATAGTATTGAAATGACAAGATCTATTTACTCAACAAAGAATCGCTTAAGGTTGCTAGTAATAGTGACATTTATTTGCATGATGACATGTATAGTAAAGTTCGATACAAATAATAACAATATGGCGAATATACTGCTTCGACTATTACTACGAAAAGGGGAAGGATTTAGAAAAGGAAAGAAAGAGAACCACAAATTATATACATTATTATACAATACAATACAAGACGGTTCAGTCGTACGATATCTGGGTCAGTAAAATGGAAATAAGTAAAATTGTTTGAGCGAGGTGAATTTCTCATTCGATTTCTCTACGTGCTCTTGCTAAACAGTCATCGAGATTTTATCAGTGATTTAAATCCGAGTTCATCGGATGGAATAGATCGAAGTGTGCATCTGAATATTTGAAGCGGTTTGGAGGAGGCAATATATTGAGCGAGTTGATTGCAGTCTCAAACGACTCTGTCTGCCAACGAATGGGCTAATGAGATAGAATGGTAGTTTTGCAGATTAGTTTTGGAATTAAACTTCTTGCAGATCAATCGATCCATTAATCAGATTCATCGCTCTAACGACACTTGCAGATTGATCAATTTTGCAGGGATCTGACAATTGCTGAGTTTCACCATAAGGTAACGGAGGCAGCCATCACAGATCCCTAAGATATGTGACAAAATGGAGTAGAAGTAGTATTGGTGATCGTTTTAAGGTATATGTAGCATTGTGTTGCGGAGATCGAGGAATTTTGGGGGAACCGGTCCCCAATTCTCCGTCTCCGACTTTTTCCGAGCCGACCACATTTTCGGGGTCCTCGACTAAGATATTTCGTGCTTAACTTTTTCCGTCCTGGCAACACATTAATATGTAGGGTATTCTATGAGGTGATGTATTACTTATATTGGGAAGACGTTACTTTTGGAAGGTTTTAATTCTCTGATTTCTTCTCGTCCAGTAACGCCTAAGAGAATTATCTCGGAGAGGTAGAAGCTTACGGCTGGAAATGCTATTGTAAAGCATAGTTGAATTGATCACATTAAGAACAATGTTTACATAGATATTATAATACTCAGGCACAGAGACAAGTCGAGAATACGTCACACCAATTCACTGATGATATAAATTTATTTGCCGTATCATAATCGCCTTTAAGGTAATTGCGTCTCATTTCGGTCGATGATTTATTTTGTTGGTGTGGTTATTATTGCTCTTTTTCGAATACAACCGGAACTGATTGCTGAAAATTTATGGACGTTTTCTGAGTGATTGTTTCGGTGAATAAAAACCAGAAATGAATCGTTGAAGAGTTTTCTGATGTTTCAAGTAGCATTTCATTATGCATTCATTTTTAAATACCGTCTAATGATGAGTTGTTTGGCTGAATAAACAAGTTTTCATTCAGAATATTTATCGCTTAGTCTGGGGTTTCTCAATCAGGAGTGTTCGCACCCTTTGGGGGTGCGAGATACTATTCCAAAGTGTGCAATATAACATTTCATTTTCATATATTAATGTAGGCGAGGATAAAATTCAACGCATACATGTGTCTAATGTGCATATTTTTGAGAAGGGTAGAACGTACCCGAATGTCTACACCACAGACAATCACTGTAGTTGATGAGAGATACAGAGAATGTTGTGAGGTGTGCAAGGATATTTCAACTATTGTTGTGAGGAGTGCGAGGAAACATGAAAATTTTTCAAGATGTGCGGGTGAGAAAAAAGGGTGAGAACCACTGTGTTAGTTTGATGACATCCGTTGCCGAAAAACAAATTTGTGCAAGTCAATACGTTTGACTATCTCGGGAATGGTTCCCGGACATTTTGCTTAAAGATGTTTTGCCTAAGGACAGTTTGCTTAAGAACATTTTGCCTATTAGACAAAATATCAATTTAAAACCGTCCGTTAGGCAATGTGTCTTTAGACAAACTGTCGTTAGGCAAAACGTTTTTAGGCGAATTGTCCGGTCACGCTCGGCGGCAATAGTCTCATTTTTACAAAGCAGTGTTTTTGTGTGAGCCTGGAGAAACCCTGTGACTATCCCACAAGTGCTAATTTCGAGGTTATATCAGGAGATTTCTGATCGACTTGAAAGTGGATGTCCCGTCCATTTTATTGTTAACATTATATGTATATGTACAAGTAAGTGATCATATTGGAGCGTATGTTAGAGAAATCATGCGTTTATTTCATTACACTACTTTTTCCCAAATGCAACCAGAATTCATGATAAAAGTGCGAATAGCGTTTCACTATCGATTATGCTTTAGATGAAATTCTATTTTATGAAATTATACTGAACAAATGTGCGTTCAGTAAAACAGCTGTTTATCTAATTTTGTTTTTTTGTTCGAAAAAATAGCCCTTCGAGGATCTCAGCACAGCCATAAGACGATACGAGCAGTTGTAATCAAAAGTTGAAAAATCTCCCTCTAAACTCATTCCATCGCCGTGCTAAATCAGTTTCAAATTAATTAACCACTTGTGGCTAATACGAGTTTACTGAGTTTGCTCTAAATGAATGACAATCACAAAGAACATTTATGACAATGATTATTCTTCGGTACTCTGTTCAACATCACTTGAAATCGTCTAATGCATCAATTCCTTCAAAAAAGAGCTATTATTTTGATGATCTTTTTAGGAACACCTAATCCAGCATAATTCTCTGTGCTGATATAAGGCATAATATTGATGTTTAGCACAATGACAAGGTCACTCATCTGTCGATTCCCATGCACTGTAACACGTCAGTATGCCACCATCGCTAAATTCGGTTCAAATCATCACTTTCCCCGTATTCTATCTTCCTCCACTTCATTCCGAATGGTAATTTTTTGCATATTGATTTGAACAGTAATAATAACGAATACTTTAATACTATGAAATTTCTGCATGTATTCAATCTAATAATGACCAATCTGCGCACTATTTCGGTTGCAACTTAACGTTAGCACGGCAGCTGTCTCTACTCTTCTAATCCTATAACATCGCATTCGAAATTCTGCAATTTAATTGTTTCTTACTTGCGTATCCAACGGTTTTGTTTATGACCAATAAAATACTTCTGTAAAAAGAAATGTTAGTGAATGCAGCCTAGAAGGTGTTCATAACCGTGAGGTACGGTGATAGATCATCTTTGGGTTTAGGCTTAGGCTTTGACTCATACCGTGCTGGGGTATCTATTGAGCAAATAAATGATTCTCCCGAATTAGGCTTAAATGCAGTCCATCGCCGTATCTACTCTGATTACTGCCACTTATTAATGGCTTCTCATGTCTGTCAGTACTGTCATTATCTTTTCATTTCTTTTCTTTTCTGCATATCAACGTTTGTGAGTAATGTCAAACGATCATTTGGAATGCCCTTCAAATGCAAATCATCACGTCTTGTAAATTCAGTAAACAGTTCTGTTTTGCACGGCTTGAGTTCTGCAGTGGGAACAGTCTGCAAACAACCTGTGGACACATTCATTGTAATCATTCCTATTGTCATTGTGATCATTACCATTATCATTCCTATTATCATTCCTAATCGTTCCTATCATTCCTATTGTAATCACTTCAAATAAAGAATTGATGCTCGATGAAGCCAGATAAGAAAAGCAATAAATTTAGATGTGAAAAACATGTTTGCCGAAAACCAATTAAATAAGAAAATTAGATTCTGTAGAAATATTTGCCATATAATAACAAACATTTGATAACCATTGTGCAATGTTGAAATGGAATGCAAAAATTAATCCTTTCCAAAATTAACCGCATTGTTTCAAAAATTTTTTTAGAAAACATGTTCATAAGATATTGTTTTATCTCGTGAGGTTTCAATGGTTCAGCTCTCATTATATCGTAAGATGTCAGTCATATCATATCATATCTCATCGAATTACCACCTGCCTCATTCTGTCATGTTGTTAACTTGATACTTTTCAAGTTGTGCGCTGCAGTAAAACTGAAACATTGATATGCTTTGTAGAATCGTTTAAACATAATTGTAATTCAGCAACAAAAGCGCGAGATGGGTGATGACATATTGACATTATTCGATGCTCTGGGCATTGCTGGCAAATATAAATTCTGTATCGGTGCACCAGGTGCGTCCGATCTGAAGAAGGTGGCCGAGCTCATGGAGAGCATTTCGGCAAAGAGAATGGTATTTTCGTGTTCCATATCTAACCGTTCCAACTTATGAAACGGTGTTTACAACCTAATTCATTTCCATTTANCAGCGTATTCAACCTGTTTGACATGAATTCTTATGAACGAAATGTAAGGAATTTTCAAGAGAAAATCACATTCATAATCTGGATAGAATGTTTTTCGCCATTCTTCAACTACTTCCACTCTTTGTTGCCATATTCATCCATGTTTTCTTGAGATTAGAGAAACTCATGCAATGAACTATTCCATGGCCTTTTTGCGAGACATATCTAGGGTTCGTCTTTCTGCACTTAGATAAACTGCTTTCTTTATTGTAATTTTTGATTTTGTCTAGAAAATGATTTGCGAAGATTTTTTAGAATGAGGAGAAGAGCTCAGCTGGTGCTAGCTTGCTGCAGTACGGTGCTCCGTTGGGTGATCCACGATCGCTTCATGCCCTTGCTAATTTTCTTACCTCTGAATATGGAATGGCCGTTTCGGAGTAAGTGATAAATTGAAAGAACAGTTTTTTTTTGTCATAGTCATTTCACTTTTGCATTTAATTAGTGTTAATTTTCTTACAGCTTACTTCTATGTGCATGTTTTCATAGCCATCTTCTCAGTACAACCCATTCTGCAAATTGCGTTGAACAGAAAGATCATGAACTATCTTTAAAGTGTTGCGATGCAACTGAAGAAGTAGAGAATAAATGAGTGTTTTATCAACATCAGAACCATGTGAATATTCTTTGAAACAGATCGCATTTGACGTACACGTCGGGTGCAACTGCGGGGTTTCTTCATCTCATAACGCAGTTATTTCCAAATAAGTGTGATGTCTACGCCGAAGGACTCACGTACCACGTGGCACTACAGATGCTCAGACTGCTGAATTTCAACATAAAATCAGGTTTTATCCAACATAAATCAAGTTGTTTTCTAATTACAGCGTCCTGTTGATGCGTTCAGAAAAAAGTGATTATTTGGGAAAAAATTTCACGACTGGAATTGAAATGGAACAGTAGCATTGAAAAAATTTTTATGTCAGTCAAGATTGCCGTTACGTTGGATTCATTTCAGTACCTATTGAAGTGGACGGCATGAATTTGGAAAAACTAGAACAAATTTGGTCGAAGGACCTCAAAGAAATGACTTTGGAAGAGCAGTCAAAGTTGCCCTATCAAGCCATGCTTTACACTATTCCAACATTCCAAAATCCGACTGGCACAGTTCTTTCACCAGGTTGCCTATCCATTTATTTTCGGTTGAATGACGTATTCCGATAAGTTGACTGTATGAATTGGCAATAAAATTATCATATTTTTCAAGGACTTCTGGTGTGTGTTCATGTTAATTGTAATAATCATATTCGATGGTATTTATAGGTTGCGTGAGCGCAAGGATATTCGTGCTGAAATGCTGTAGTAGCATGTGATTATTCCGCGCTCACAAATTATGGGACAAATTCACGAAATCAATTTCATTTATGCTAGGAGAATTGCTTCTTTGAATTGTATTCTCAATGAATAATCAATCAGATTTCTTTCAGAGAAATGCGATCGACTCGTAAAGTTGGCACGTAAATATCATGTTCTCGTACTGAGTGAAGATGTTTATAATATCTTCTATTATGACGGCAGTGGAGCACCGCCAAAACGTCTGTTCGCTTATGATAATGAGTAGGTTTGCATTTGGAAATTGGAATGTACCATGAAATAAAGCTTAATGTAGGTATTTGCTTGATGCAGTTCACTAGTGCGTCACAATTACCGTTTATCGTTATTATGGCGATGCAGCACGCAAGCTTATGTAATTTATAGAGGTGGTCTACAATCTGTTACATTTTAACACAGAAACGCGACTGAAATTATTGTTTCACCCATGATGTAACCACATTTCGAGATCTGCTTATGGCTTCAGCTGATGTAATTCGATGCTTTGAATAAATTTGTGCAATCTTCATAATTCAGAACTGATCCGGATTATGGTATTGGACACGTGGTTAGTAATTGCACATTTTCGAAACTGCTCTCGCCCGGGCTACGACTTGGTTGGCAAGAATTGCCAGTTCTCTTACGAGAAAAATACTACGAAAAAAGGTTCGTTTAATTTCTCCACTCCTCAATATGATAACGCCCGAAATGAGGTACTGTCTCATCACGTTCACTGCGATATAACATCGTTCAGTCCAAAAGTTTATAAAACCTGTGACTTAAGTCCTATCATAATATCGAGTGGAGGATTGAATCCAGTTATTGGCGGGTGTGTTACGCTTGCTTTAGAAGATGGAAGTGCATCGAAGTTCATCGATGGGGTTCGACGGGAACATGCTGTTAGTTGTTCATGTTTCTGTACCGTCAAACGTCCAAATTAACACTTATCATTGTTTTCAATGTGTGTTGTTATAATAACGATGAATGGTCATAAATGTGATCTTAACCGATTTATACACTAAGTATCCACGGGGCAGTAACCTATGTAGTTATTAATGTAGCAATTAGGTGTATGACAAGTTTATGAAAGCAGAAATTGACTATGGAGAATTTTAAAAAAAGCTATCAAAAAGTTTCGTTGTTTTTCACAGAAAAGGAGATATTTGTTGGATGGAGATATTTTTCAGTAATTCAGTTGGAATTTCGATCATTCATTCTGTCACTCAATGAATCAGCGTGTTTTCAGAGAAAGATGCAGGTAACAGTCGATACATTAAATACAAAATTACCATCCGGTTGCAAATTATACTATCCATCTAAGGTAGATTTTCTTGTTATTTTTCATGTTTAAAAAATTCACTCTCTCTTGAAACTGATTTGCTTACGATTAAATGTAACTCGTGCAATTGGTTGTTCTGTGCGAACTACGTGGCTGATTATGGCAGAAGGAGTTGGAAAGGTTTGATTTTTATGGTATTTTTCAGGGCGGATACTTCTGCTACGTTCAGATACCCGAACGGCTGAATGCGGTGGACTTCGTAAAATACGTGAAAGAGAAATATAGTGTCATTCTACCGGAAGGTGTCAAGTAGGTTATGCATTGTCGTTATACTTTTTGAAGTTTCCAATAGAACGGTGATAACAGCAATGCTTAGCGCACTTCGTTGACTTAATATTTCTCTGACTTTAATGCTGACTCAAACAGTTCGTTTAAGCTGAGAATGATTTTTTGAACGTTCACGTTTGCTCACCAGTGGAGTGAATGTGTTTCTCATAATCTCTTTTTCTAAATCAACGATACATTGGTATCCTGAAAAAAAAAATCACGCAGGTGTGAAAAGTTGTTCAGGTTTGGAAAACCAATTGAAAACATTTGATGAACACAGTCGATCGTATGTTCATTTTGATTTCAGGTTCGCTTCTAGTTCTGAGGATTACGTGAAGGAAATGTCGAACGGTTTTCGCATTTCAATTCCTTATCCAACATTCGATGAAGTACGTGACGGGATAAATCATATTTGTGTTGCGTTGCATGAATGTCTGCAAAAATGAATGCAGATTTCAAATCTTCAAAATGAATCTCCATTGTGATATGTTTACAATTTATTCATGTATCGTGATTTACACATCGCTTCATGTATAATTTGTAATTTTTAAATGTTCTATTGCATGTTTTAAATGTTCTATTCTACTATAAAGGTTTCAGTAAATTCATCAATATGTAATTTATTCAAGAATTCATTCTCCTTCGCTAATCATCGAAGCCTAATTGGTGAATTTTTTGTGACGTTGTCCGTGCAAAGTGTAGTCTAGCATTCTCCTACAAGAAGATCATAACCAAATCCATTGACCAATGCTGGTCTCATCTTCAACAAATGATCCTTTGCAACCTCAACCATATGAGTGTAGTATTTGGCGTTAGCGATTTGCCATTTCCAGGGAATTCGAAGTGGATCACATCGGTGACACACGAAAAAACGATGAGCATGATTTTTAGCGGGTTCAGTTTGGTTTGGGCACCACTTTAGTGGCTCACCAACGCCTAAGCACTGGGCTGACCTCCGTCGATCAGCACAATTAATCCACTTTTTATCCATAGTAACTAGTCGATCAAATGATGGTTCATTAATACTTCTTAGTAGTAATGAAGAACAAACTCGCAAACGTCCAACGTGTGTGGAATCCATCGGTTCAATTTCTTAACTTTACCAATCTATCGACACGGCACAGAGGACGGCAGCCTCGCTCCGTGATTCCAGTTAGAAATTAGGCGATTGGTGATCGCCGTATGTTGGTTAGGGGTTCCCGAATTTCAATAATTGGAATCCCCACCAGACAGTTGAATTACATATCATCTGCCCATAAAGCGTCCGCAACCCGATATCTGTAACTGTCAACGGCCCAGATAGGAGATATCCCTGAAAGAGCCCAAATAACTACTCGAAAGTGGCTGCAAGGCGTAGTCCGTTGAAGAACTATTTCAGTCACACAAAAAGACAATGACGTGCTCCCTCACCAAAAGGAAGGGAGGAAGTGCTTGGCCTCGCTGTCGTTTATACATTTGAACATGAATGATGGAATAACAATATTACAGTGACACATCAAGACAATTACAACATCATATTATCACACACTCATCATGTCCCACTGTCCTTTTCACACTAATAAACCCACTCACACCCGTCCCTGTGTGGGTTTGAGGCTGTAAAGTACTGCTCTGAAATGAAATCTGTGTTCAAATCATGTGAACGCACAGCAGAACAATTATATCGCATGGCTCATTTAAAAGGAATTTAATGGAACACATTAAACTGTGGACAAATATGCACAGAAAAACATTTTCATTACATCATTCTTCGGTTGGACTAATATCTGGGTAGCTGTTTAAAATTTCCTCTGAATCCTGAAAAATGAAGTTTTGAGCAGCCAGTCACGATTTCTCTAAACAGGGCTATTGTTTTATGATGTTCCTAAAGACGATCTTGGGTTAATTTGGCTCTTAGATAAGCTGTGTGGTTGAATTGGCTCTAAAGTCTGGTTAATACCGCAAAATTTCATGCCTTACGATCCTCAGAGAAAACGTCCGCACTGAACTTTTTTGTTCTGAAGAAAAAAGAAAAAATATTTTGAAAATTCGAGAATCAGAAATGAATGGCATAATAAGAGGAAAATCATTTAAAAAAACATTTGATTAGAATTATTTTCTGCTGAGCTTTGCAACCACCCAGCCATAACATCACCCGTCATACCTTCGAAGACATCATCATAAACGTGCACGATGAACTCACGTGTTGAAATTTAAGCAAAATAAAAATTCTGACACAAAATTTTGTTTGAGGTCAATGAAGTTGAAAAATAAGTATCAGTTACTTCCAAAACAAAAACATTTCTTGCAGCAAAAAACATTTTTCAAGAAGTGGTGCCATTGAAATGAGTCATATCTTAAAATAATGGGAGTAATGCAGTGTTGCAGAAGATTACGTTAACGACCATTTGAAATACGAGGTGAAGTGTTCCTACGATCTCACACAATAATTCGCTTGCCCCAGCACGCCGATAACTTCACATCTGTACTTCGGTGCTAATTTAGCTACTCAGGTTTCATGCAACTTGAGTTTTTACCAGTGTCAAATGAATGAAAACTTTACCCACAGCATTCGAAGCAATTAACAGATTGGTACATGTACTGAATGTGTGAAAAAGTTTGTAGAGAAGGAATTACTGTTATAAATCAGATCTAAAATGAACTGCATCTGCATGAACGTAGAAACAAATCAACAGTTCATTTAAGGACATTTTATGATGACAGCATAAAGAAGAAACTGCAACGGATGAAAACTGCAATTAGGCGATCATTAGCACAATAGCTTACGACAATACATGCATAAAATGATGGAGACCTTGACACTTTCAAATGGACATCGAGTGGGATCGTTACTTTCCTTTTTCTTCTATTTAGACTATGCTTCCTGACATCGCCACCTTCATTCCCCGAGATGAAATTAATCTCCGACGTATGTGCAAACTACATCGCGATTGTGACAAGTTTTTTTCACTGTTAGAACAAGCTACTTCCCTGACCTCACGAAACATCCACATGGTGCCTCTTGTTAATTAAAAACCATCCATATGTCAAACAAACGATAGAATCGGAATTTTATAGGCTGGCTTTTGTTGAATCCAAATCCTGTGACAACATCACCAACAACAGCAGCAACAACAAAAAAAAGCTAAGAAGAAATCGATGTTTCAAAAATAGGATTCAAACCCTGGTCTGTCATATGAAAACGTACTTACTAGATTACCACTATGCGACGACACAACGTCAGCAAGTGCAACGGGGTAGAGAGAAATAGATTCTGATGGAGAAAACTACCATCTTTTCCTCTTCTTTTTAACCCAGAATTCCCTGTGAAAGTTAAAGAAAGTAATAACAAGTTTCACGTTTTATTTGTGAACAATTCGAATATGGAAATCATGAATGGATTGCAAACAGACATAACATCACATGAACAATTCGGTCATTTCAATGAATTTCTTGCGGAAAAACGAAAACGTGTTTCGTTTCAGTTTGAAAACGTGTGAAAAATCGCTTTCGCTATTGTTCATTGTTCGTGATACACGTTGAATGTATGTATGCTTTCTTGTGACGTTGAATAGCACCTGTTCACACTCCGAGCGTTATAAATCATTATCGCTCGAGTTTCCAATGATCACCTAAGCAGCGTGTTTCAGAGCAATAAATATTCCATATCTCTATGCATTGCACCTTGTCACTTCTTAAGAAGCGTGCAAAAATGGAAGCGAAAATAAAATTGAAGTCGTCGATAAAATTCCAATGAGAACTTTTTTAATCACATGTACTTTACTAATTGGTACGGTTCATCGAGGTTCACAAAGCTTGCAGGAATAGCAAAGCGAAGAGCATTAAGGACGGCTTGCCTCTGACTAAACGAAACCAAAAGTGAACAACGCTTGGAATGAGTATCATCTGGTTGAATGAAATGTATAACATTGTAAAGATACGGTTCAATGATTCCGATAAATGTGCATTAGATATATTGAATTGTCAAAATCGTTTCTATAATGCGTTTTTAAATGGTTTTTCGTAATCGCTCTCAAATGATTTCAATGAATTTTAAAATGGCATTATCAATTTGATTCATTTCTCATCAGCACGATTCGTTGGTCCATCGCACTTTCGTTACTGTGATCTGCTGCTTGCATTTTATTTTTGTATTACTATTTTTGAGTTACCTTCGGATATTTACCACCACAGTTCATTGCTGATGTCAATTTGCATCACGCAAAGTGCAATTTCCTTGGAATGAATCACAGAATTTGACTGTCGTTGAACTTTTTCGTGCGGTTCGAATTCCGGAGCTTTAGGATTTGTAAATCAACTCCGGTTCCTTATTTTGAAGTTAGGAAAAACTGCAAAAAACTTCGCTATAAACGTTGGTGCTAGAACATCGTTGTTTTTTTTTTTGAAGAGAATTGCACGGTCTCTGGGAGATGCAGCAATGGTCATGGTTTGAATTTGCCGATCTGGACAATTCAAATCGCTACTGTGGTTGTTCCATTCTGAATTGAGTTGATTGTTTCACTCGGTTTTTGTTGATGTTCTTATCCGATACTGATTTGTCCATTCTCAATTGTTTCGTTTTTGTTGATGTTTTTTTTGTTGATTTTTGTTGATGTTAACAAATTCTTTTTCATTTAGAGTGTTTGCGCTTGATCATTACTAACGCAATTATTCTTAAGAGAGAGAATAATTATTAGTTGTGTTTTGCGCTGAAAACGTTGTTGAATGGGTGTTAGTTGGAATGATAAATGTGCATACACCAAGCAGTACTTACAATGAACATGAATGATGTGCATGAACGATCACTGCTGAGAGTGCATGAATTATTTACAATAAATAATATAACTTGTAAATGCATTGCGAGTAACGTGGTAGGTGATGCTTAAAACTGGTTCGTTATTGTATTGAATAATTCTCTTGAAATACTTCACTCAAAGGCAGTCAATTATGTTTGCAATACAATCAACATGCCTGAATAACGTTTTATATACGGTCCACTCATCGAATTCACACTCTTCTCTTTCCATGGATCACATAAGTAACATGATTATTCATTTATTAATTCGGACAATTTCCCTGTGCCAACGCTGTTGTCGGGTTTGCATACAGCTTAAGTGCGCCTCTGGCAGGATCGAGTGATTGCGAATAGGTATATTCTTCTATGCTCTCAGTGAGTCATCCGCAAGCTTGAAAGGAAGCCATTTTTGCCACAGTTAAAATTGCTGTCCTAGTAGTTTGTCGCTGCCATGGACCGTGATCTCCACCATTGCTTGACAACTTTCGCCGTTCACAGCTTGCAAGAGTGTATTTTATTGCCACTACGCAACAAGAATGACTATTTGGCCTTTCGAGTTGTACATGAGTTCGGTTAAGAGTGCGTTTTGAATTACTGTTGAAGAGGGAAAGTTCATGTTGGCAGCAATTATTTCGAAGATGCCATCGACAGGCGAAACGAGTTCCTCGTCACCATAAGTAATGTTCTTCGCTGTTCATTTGAGTGCATTTTACATTTCATTTTGATTATGAAACACGATGTATTATCAAATGCATATAATCGCTTGCTATTCTGATAAATTTTCAACATAGTCTAATTTTCTCATGACCACTCTACAAGCTTCGTTCTGAACTCCTACTCTTGTTTCGTGCAGATCCGTACTGCTCATCTTCTGACAAGTCCATCATCAGAAATTCAAATTCACATTACATGGAGAATGAGAGATTTTGCTTCCTTACACATGGAACAAGATATGGTTCAATCACATCAGTCCTTTTTTCCAGATACTTTCTCTTGATTGCTGCGTATTGATTGAACGGATCCTCGGTGATCTAAGAACTGTTACCCAGGGTATAGCAATAGATGTTTGCTGTTATTAATAAATAACCGAAATCGTGTTGAGCGCATTTGATAATTCACTATTCAACGACACCGTAAAACTTTCTCGGAGCTCTACTCATATTGCATTCATTTCGATGTGTAACGAATTTTGTTTAACGCATTTGCTTAACGCATAGCATGAGCGCGATGCGATGTACACATTTTCAAATGAAATGCTGATTCGATGTGACTCTTTCGATCATTTCAGTCGAATCAACTTTTGTTCATTTTAAAATTCATCTTAATGTTACTGTCATTTTGAACGGATCTACTGCCAGTTTGATACAAAACAAATGACATTTTGGTGTTTGCTACTGTTCAGCGTTCGATGGTTAATGGTAATGTGGCATCTGCATGGAAATAGGTCATTGATTATTATTGTGTATGCATGAGCAAATACTCTGATGACACAAACATTTTGTCCTTGACGAGTCTCCTCGTCTGCAAAACCAATACAGCACATTCATCTCACCACGACTCCAAAACGTTTCTTAATGGACGAAGCCGTAGTTACTTTACCCATTCTCTTACAGTAAAGCTGACGTTTCACACTTATTATTCACACATCACTTAACAATTTTACATTACAATTAATCACTTTTTATTAATTCCAGCCGCATCGTTCCTATTCACTTCTTGATTACCTTCTTCTGAATGATTCTTTAAATGCGATCCTCAACGTCTTCCTCTGCATGAATTATTCCTATTTATTATTTTTCATTCGCGATGGACATCACGTCATTGTTTGGGTTTAGGTGAATAATTGAACAATTCGAAAAGAAATATTTATTGCTGTGGAGATTTGGAGAGAGCGATTTCTTTGGTAAATGACGTGAGTATATAGTATTTGATGTAGATGAGCGTATATTTCCGAAGAAGAAATAAATGTACGAAATGAGTGGTTGATGAATGCGCGTATTTTAAAAGAATTGAATCGATCGTTTTAAAATGGTTCATTCAGACCAACTTTGATCGATTGATCAGTTGCGTTCGATTGATCAGTTCGTGGTCATGCAACGATTAAATTCGTCAGCACATCTCTAGTAATTCTTTTGAATTATTTTTCACCTATTATCGCTTCCATAGTCTTAAACGAATGTGAATTGAAAGGCTAAAACATTGCTTTATTTCGTTCGTATAATATCACAAATGAACCTTAGAATCCATGAAGTATTTCGATTGAATCTCTCGTTTTGAACTGCGCTTACTCGAGCATAAAAATTGTAGAAACCTTGGTGGCATCAGTTGTTCCATTCAATGCTGTGAAACAAAGCGAGATCATTTTGAAGGATTTCAATCAGCAGAAGTGATTCTCAAAAAGGATTATGAATGAAATCTCACTTGAGTTAAAAATTCATGTGATTGCTGCTGTAGCAAGCAATGCCTTTTCTGCCACTCCTAACATTTCGAACACAATTCTATAAGATAATTCGCTTCATTTTGTTGTCTCTGCTTCATGAATCGATCAAAACGTGCATACATATTCGGAATTATGATTAGCTATTCATCTTGTCCACATTGTTTTTGATTTGTCTTCTTCGAACAGAGGTAGCAGCCTCTCGTGTTCGAATGTGTTAATAGAATGTACATTCGAGGGAAACTGACGCGTTGTGTTTATTGTTTGTAATGTTAGCCGATCGGGTCGGAATCTCGTAGTAAAATCAACTTTGTTATTAGATACAACAAAGTATGATTGGTGTAATCGTACCATATTTATCGAAGATTCGTAGAAGTTATCAGTCAAATGATCTTATCGATCGCCTCAGTTATGAGTACACTGCTATGATAATTACGCTCGCAGCATTCACTCTTGCAGCCACACAATACGTCGGAAATCCAATTCAGGTATTCCTTTCATTCATCAAAAAGAATTTTTTTCTGTCTTTTTCAATCATTAAATTACGTAACATTCCCACCAGGTGGTATCGGTCATGTTATTACGCTGTTTTTCAACACGTATTTGACATCATCATTTTTCACCCACATTTGAGATTTATGATCACTGCAGGGGGGTTGAAAACAGGAAAGATTTTCGTCTCATTAACTGAAATACAACCAGTGCTCGAAGCTCGTATTGTAACGACTATACAAAGTGTCACTAACTCGAGCTACATTAATGGCTCACGATTCTAATACGCAGTCATTTGCAGTGCTGGGTTCCAGCTCAATTCACTGGCGCATGGGAGAAGTGAGCGAATTTATGAATTTTGTTTCGCTTGAATGAATCAATTTACGCATCATTTGTGATACTTCGATCTATTTATTCCTTCTCCAAATCANNAGTCAATTTTTATTGTAGATGATGAATGGGGTGTAGCAGAAGAGGAGAACAGTAAACGGCAGCAAACAAATTTTGAATTGTTTGCAAATTGAAATTAGGAGACAGTGAATGATTTGAATAAGTTCTCAGAATGTGCTTAAATTTTGAAAATGGTTTCACAATTGAATTTGATTTGCATTATTCAGGTACACAGAAACGTACTGCTTCATCAAGGGCAGCTATTTTTTACCACTAGATGATGACATTCCGTACGAGTTTAATCAGCGAGAGGATGCGGTTAGTTATCAATCACTGATCTGTCATTTCATCTCAACTGATCACGTTTTGTTTCCGTCACGATTCAATTCAAAGAAAGTTATCGTCAGTTGAAAATCGCGAATAGACTATTGGAACCATGATGGGGCTCCAGCAAGTTGCATGTTGAATTGTTTAAATGATGTGATCCACTCCCAAATGCTCCTACCTCACTCAATGTGATCGGAATGTACTCATATGAACAACAATGAAAACATTAATTCGTGAATCGGATACACGGAATAGCACTGGATTTTGGTTATTGCTTATTCGACGGGAATTTTGTAGGTTATTGGTTACTATCAGTGGGTCCCGATCGTGCTCGCCTTGCAAGCGTTCCTCTTCTACTTTCCGTCGCTCGTTTGGAAATCGCTCAATTTCAAAACTGGTGAGTTTGAGATGTGATGATTTTGGATTACATTCGTATCGTTTGCATACAATTTGCATCGCATTTGGTCTTGTATGACGCACTTGTGCGCATCCGTTACGAAATAATTAATGAAATCATTCGAATTCGATCAGTATGCAGTTGCGTTTAGCAGCGAATCTGTAATGCAGTTTAGCAGCGAATCGTTTGCCTTTCTCCATCCAATTCAGATTGTATCAGAGTAGGTATGTCTGTAATCAGAATACAATTTATATATTGGAATTCAGTATGACAAGTGAGTGGGTGCAAAGTAATTATTGAATGCAAGCAGCGCTATGAGGGTACACAACTGAAATTCAATGAATGCATAAAATCGCATTTACATTCAATTGTGTTCGTTACTGCAGTCGTTATTACATTCGATTGTTGTAAAGATGTTAGTTTGTTGTGCTGAACATAAAAGGATGTCAGTCATTCTTCGGAATTTTTTGCGTTGAATTGAAATGGCGTGAATCAGTGAACACAATACGTGATATTTGTTTATTTAATATGACACTTGTCACATTCACAAATTTCACTACTACTCATCTAACGACGAAAAATATTACTTATACTTTAGGGTGTGTTCACTGCCTCATTTTATAGTGATCATTTTTCATTTCTCTCTGGTTTAATTTGTGCTGTAGACATCTTTGATTCGTTTCTTAATCTCGAAAAATTTCGGAACAAATGAGTTTTCCATAGTAACTCGTCGCTGAGATCTGATCGAAAGGAGTAGGAACAATCCATTTTTGATGGGTTTCATGCAACCCACCTGTGAGGATTTTATAGACTGTGACGAGTTCCTCGGATTAGATTCTCGCTTTTGTATGAAAATTCTTGTATTAGTCTAAGTCCCGCTACTTCAGTCATTTCGGAAGCAAGGTGAATTCAAGTTTCAGCCTGTAGAAAGTGTAAACATCCATGAAACGTTGTAGGTTGATTTGTTTGAATCATCAATGAGAACACTGCTCTGTGCCCAGTAATTCGTAAAATCATCAATATAAAATATCTTTCAAAATGCAAGAAGAGGATTCGAAAAATGGTCGGAACGATGCATTTAATTGTGTTTATAATCCTCTGAACGAGTTCTTCCACCGCATTTTCATCTGATTCGAATTAGTCGCAAAACGATTCCATCATGCATAATGATCATTTATGGTATTACTTTCGTATTACGTTTTGATTCTGTTCAATTTATGCCGCAATGTTCAGTACTGTGAATGTTCCATGGAATTCTACCTCATTGTTAGGTGAGAATCACCGAATATTTGTTCATTAGGGAATACAAATGTTCCCTTGTTGAGAGCAAAGTGAATCGAAGCGAATGTATGATGTGGTCCTTCAACTAGCTTAACCCATATTTTCAATATGACGAGCACTGTTCACTTAGGAACAAAAATGCGGCGATATCGGCAAATTATCAGAAAATTCAGATTCAAGGAACACGCATTTGCTCAAAGCTGCTTGCTCACGGCCCATGCCCATACTTTGCTCACCTGGTGAATCCCCAATCGCTGGTCTGTAATGTTATCATTCTCTGATCGATCGTGATATCCGATATTCATGCCATGTTTTACGTTTGTTTTGTAATGTGCCATTGAGCAGTGTAATTTTGATGCAAATTTCTAGATGGATTTTTTGATTGACTATCTGAAATTGTTTAAAATTGTGCCTGATGGCAGTGATTCAATCGATACTTTGAATCATTATTACACGGCGATGTTGTTGATGATATCTGGAATATCAATGTCAGCCATGATTTATGTCGCGCATCCAATTCAGTGTTGGGTTCCAGCCGAATTTCAACCACAAGTAGACGTTTAGAATTGTTTCAGCAAAATGAATTTTCGAATGAATCATAACTCACACTCAAACCTAATGTATTGTAACAAGCAATAATAGGTGTTCCCGAATTTAATGTTTACCTTCAAATAGACATTAGTGATCCGTCCGATTTCGGTCGGAATGCCAACATTCGGCTTCCGACCGAACAATCCCGAGAGTCGATCGGAATATTGAGGAGTAAGGTCAAATTTTTACCGATAAGAAATTCCGCTTGGATTTCGTCATTAATAAACACACTCACTCACCTCAAAATTTCTTTAATGATGAGTTACATTGTTATGGATCATGATTTCAAGCTTTTGTTGATAACTCAAAAGGCAATAAAATTAGCTATCATGAAATGTAATTCTTTCAATGCTGATCACAAAAGTGATATGAAGGGCACTTTTCTGGGCTGTATCATAAATATTCAGTGGGAACACTATGCAGAGATGTACTGTTTCACGAACGGCTTCTACTTTCGTGTAGAAGATTGCTATTTGGATAAGAATAATTCGGAGAGGATTTGCGTTGAGGATAGGCAAGTTCATATTGGATACTATCAATGGCTTCCTTTAATTGCAGTACTGCAAGCTTTCATGTTTGCGGCACCACTCTACTTCTGGCGAGTCAATTCATCAAAAACTGGTGAGATTCTAAGCAAAAATGATTGACTGAAGCGAAGGCGTATTTTCGTAGCGTATCACTTATGATCACATGTAGTGAACGTGAACTGTATCCATTTGAGTTCTTAACTCTTACAATGGAACACAATTGCTTAACAATGCTTTGAACTGACAGTGTAACAGCCTCATTGCATCATTTAGAAGGCGAGCATGTTCATGTAAACTAATGGTGCATAGAACAGTTGGTCGCTTCTCGATGCATTGAGGTGAGATTCGAAATTCTAAAGTTTGGTATACCTATGAATCCAGAAGAATCCCGCATATCAATCAGAAAAGGCAAACGAGTAATTGATGAATGAAGCAAAGCATTTTCTCGTCAAATGAATAGTGAGAAGTTCGGATATCATTCAAATAGCTTCCATGTACTGTTTTGAGGTATAAATGTAAAAGGAGTGCTGAATTCGGCGGCATCAGTTAAGAAGAAATTCGATCGAGGATCGCGAATTGCACAAGTGCACATTGCAGCAGATCACTTGCAAGAGGCTCTCGACATGCAACGTGAACTTAAAGGTATTCATTCTTTCGCATCTTTCGCACCATTCAGAGAACCACAATACCATCGTTTGAATTCATGCCACAACAACTCACAGTGACTTCAAAGGAAATTTTCGGTTGTGTGATCTCTTTTAACGTGAAAGAAGGGAAACGTTATCTTTTTAGATGTAAAATTAAGTTAATGTTCTAATTTTTACAGGAGGCTTTGATTGCTTGAGATTTGGTAAACGAAATGGCGTCTATCTTGTGGCTTTATACCTATTCACTAAGGTTTGTGATTCTGCAAAGCGCTATTTTGACCCATCGTGCTCATGTATGCTTAAGTGCAATATTAAAAGTGGTTCTCTCCTATTGAATAGTGGTGATGAGTATCTCTGAAATGGTGCTTTTTGCTGCATTATAAAGTCTGGAAATTTGAATACTCACAAATATTTCCTGGGGAATGGCATCGCATTCGATCAATTGCTATTGTATTCAGGGATGTTTTTTCGGAACCATTTTCTGGGTCAATATGTTCGATGTTTCAATAATCAATTTCGCCAATAATCAGTAGCATTACACATCCAATACGTAACATCACCATAATTGAACGAATCATCTTGACTTTAAACTGCTTCAATATCCCAAAGTTGTTTCCAAGAAAAAATCAAACTTATATGCTTTTATATTGGAAGTGTTGAACTGAAACGATATTAACAGGTCTGAATGAAGTGTAATACTTGCAGTTATTGTATGTGTTGAATGTATTGATGCAGTTCGTTATACTGAACGCTTTTCTTGGGCCTCAGTATACATTTTGGGGTGCTGGAATTCTTTCGGATATTTGGAATGGAAAAGAATGGAACGAATCTGGCCACTTTCCTCGTGTTACTATGTGCGATTTTGACGTAAGTTGCAGCTGTACGCTCAACCTTCAATTAATCCCTTTATTAATCGAGCAGCCCACGAAAAATAACGCAATCGTTTATTCGCACGGTTCTAATGCATATCGTAAAATCAATTATGTTATTTCGTTTCGTTACATCGGAATCAACGTTTATCTCGTATGGCAGTCTTGAATTTTCATTTTACAAACTGAATTATTTGAAGGTGAGGGTAATGGGTAATATTCACCGATGGACCGTTCAGTGTGTTCTTATGATCAATATGTTCAACGAGAAAATTTACATATTTTTATGGTAACTGATTTTGTTTTGTTACATCGCAATCTGCAAAGAAAAATTTTCTGTATCCGCCGCATGACATCGAAAAATGTCATCCCGTTATAATCCCATCATCAAAGCTCGTCAAATTAGCATTGCCGATTTATCGACACGAAAAATTAAACTATTCATAACTTCGTCATTTTTTGAATGTACACGCTTCAAGTGGATAAGTGAGCATATTGTTATCAAACGGATCTTAATTTCTGTGCAACAGTGCACGAGGAATAGTCACTGTTCAGAATGCAATGCATAATACCAAGTACTCATAAAATATGGATTGTTTGCAGGTGGTGGTTTGTATTAGTTGGTATACTGACAATAATATCATTTTTCTACTACGTGATTGCCCTAACAGTAGCAACGAATCAACGTCAATTCGTGACGAGGTATTTGCGTTGTACGGGTGCCATTTCTAAGCAGTCGAATTCACGTAATGACGATCATCTTAACAGTTTCATCAATAAATTTCTACGACCCGATGGTGTATTCCTCTTACGACTGATTGAGGTTATTGAATTGTTTGTTTATTTTGGATAGTGGCTAGCCACCTAATAATCTTTTGTGAGTAACAACACTTTATTGGTAACGATCAACTGTGCTCATCAGTTCCGCTAATGATGAATAAATTAGCTGTCATTTTACTGTGCGCTCGAATGTAGAGTTTGGCTTTTCCATGTAGTTCAAACGTAATCGTTCTTGCTGTTTCAAGCCTATCAGCACGATTTTTCAAGTGCACTAATAAACCACTGCTTAAACAGAAAGTGCGAACATTTTGTAGAGTTGCTGAATGAAGCGACCAACTCGAAAAAGGCATGCAGTACAGTTCAATGATGAACGGTAATAAGGGGAACAGGAGATTTGTTATATTAAAATTTCAGTCAAACGGCGGTGATTTATTGGTCGGCGAGGTTGTGAGTGCGTTGTTCAATCGTTATCGAGCTCGAATGGAAGATCATCTTGACACTCTGCCGGTCACAGAAAGTCCGAATAGCAGTGCATCAATTCATCACAATTAATTGTGCAATCATTCGAAACCACATCTTTTGATGTGTTATATGCTGTTATATCTCATGAACGATTTCTGTAATAATCGGCTCCATTCATTCCTTCTCACAAACCCGTAGCCAGCATGGAAAAGAAAGAAACTGCGTTGAATATTCAAATGGAGTTGAACAAAAAAAGGAAATGGAATGCTTAGTTTAATAGAGCACAAATGTGTTGCTTGAACTGATGCGTCAATTCAAGCGTACTTATCACATATTGATTCTGGACGCCGCAGCATTCTTTCGAAGAAGCTGATTCGAGCGATGTTGAAGTGAAAAAGGAGATGTATGCCCTGTCGCTCCTTGGATTCTTCGTCGCTATAGGCTTGGGTTTCAGTAAGAATATCATACCATACAATACGTTACAAAAATAATCGATGTGTTGAAATCAATTGTGAGGTGTTCATTCCAATCCAAACCAAAAAATGACTCATTCAGTATGAGGCTTTAAATTATACCTTGCAAAACCCAGGAAAGCATCGGAACAATCTGCTTCTGCTCATTTGACTATATGTCTGGTTTCGTTGAAAAAATCAAGCGGAAGATAAACCTCATTATGAACTTCATACTGATACGGTTTGTATCTTAATGTGATTGGATTGGATTGAAGTAGACACCGTTCATGTCAAAGAGCTTCATTCATGTCGTACATTGCTAAAAGCTTCAGACGAAATCTTCTCGTTTCCATTGATAAGATTGAGATTTGTATTCACCCATTGTAATAATTGAACTATTCACAGATTTGAACCACATTAGTGAACTGTGATAACGCTGTAATCTTATGCGTTAGTATTGGTTGTTGTCATTATGTCGGAATAAATTTTTATAAAGACGTTTGCTAATGATTCACAAATAAATTCCACTGTGCGTTTCATGGAATGGAATTTTTGAATGTTTTCAGCATGGAACAATTAAACCGTCTGTATACGTCATGATGATGAATTAGGAGACGAGACGAAACAAAAACATTATACATTTCGAATTGCTTTGAACTGCGCCCAATTCAGCATTATTGACTCCAGCACCTTTTTGAAATCTCAAAAGATTGCCCATACTTCAGAGGTCATTCGAGACATTAAAGCAACCAGAGTGAATTCACTATGACCCAATTATCACTGAGTCATGTCGTTGAGAAAACATACATGCAGTGACCTTGTCCGAATTTTCAACTATATAAAAGAGTTTACAACGATTATCAGCGAAGTGTGGTTTCGTTTCCGTATGGTTATATTTGTGCCATTTCATTTCCCTATTTCATTCTTTCAACATTCAAATCTTTCTTGCCAATCACTTGTATATATTTGGATATTCCACAAAAAAAGCCAATCACTTTCGTTATCAGCTGAATTTTCTTACTTCAATGCACATTAGAAAGGAAAGATGATTTCGATTATCAACAGTTTCAAAATGAGTGAGTAATCTGGGTTGATGAATATGTTTTTTAAGCGTGATCACTACGCAATGGAAAAATTTTTTTTCTAAATATGATCACTACGCGATGAAACAAACTGTTTATAACAAATTATGAACTTTATAACGTTTACGATATAGCTGTCGATCCTAAACTCGGATAAAATCAGAAGATTGTGGTGATGAGTGCGGATCTGTATTATCGGATAGCGATATCCAGTGTGGTCATAAGTACGCTGACTGTAACAGCACTCCTCATCGCCATACCAACACTAATGGCAAGAATTGATAATGAACGACGCAACACTGAAATTGTCTCACGCAATTTCAAGGTAAGTATCATCAATAATCTTTACTGTTCTTTTCACTGATGTATACAGTTTACCCAAGTGCTGGATTTTCATTTCGAAATTTTGCTTATGAGCCATCGATGGATCGCATAGTTCAAATAAAAAGGCAAGATATATGCAGTCGTCTGAATATTTCCACAGAGTAAAAATCAATCTTCCATGTTTTTTCAACTTTCGAAATCTAATATCGAATCAATCAAATGACAGGAACATTCCGAGAGCATTTGGACGACATTCAAATCAGTTGGAAATATTGCAGCACCAATGTTTTTTTCACGACCAGTTCGTTCAATGTGGGATCGAAATACATGTCGCGGTAATACTTCAAATCCAATTGAGCATTTCCCTACAGGAATACTTATTTCTTATGTTGTTTCCCGATAAGTATATTATCCATTAAGCGAATCTCGCTATCAGATTCTACGATTTCAGTGTCCATATTGTATTCACATATTTTCTTTTACTGCGTCCACTCATTGCGTCCTCGCAACAACAAGCTAACAGGCGACATGAGCAGCACCATAAATGGATCACGTAGATACATTAATTTGCAATAATTGAAGTAAAGAAATCAAGCTTCAGGTTGTTTTCCGTTGGCCTGTCCAATGGGTCCAACCGGTCCTCCAGGTGCACCCGGACCGGATGGCAATCCTGGCGATGCAGGCAATCAAGGTCCTGCAGGAGATGATGGATATGATGTTCAACTGGAAGCTGAACCAGATCTGCCATGCATCGTTTGTCCAGCTGGACCACCGGGAATGAGGTATAGAAAAGGAATATATGACCATTACAATAATTCTAATTGATTACATGTTTCAATCTGTTTTTTTTTTGATATCTCCGACTATTTCATTGTCAGTGTGCATGCATTCATATAGGTCTATTTAACACTTTTAGTCTGAACACTGCACTATCGAATGTTTCTTTAAAAGAACAGTATTTAATGTGCGATCGATCGCTTCAAAAGTTGTACAGTAGAGTTTCGCTCGAACAGGTCGTTCCGATCTGCTGCCCCTTCTCAATGAGTACTGCTGCATTGCTGATGTTTTAAACTGATAACTGGAACCAAGCAGCTGCTTGGAGCCAAGAACAGTCACTCATTCATGATGGTTTAATGTGTTGTTGTTAAGAGGTTCACAAGGTGAACGCGGCAGAATTGGCGATGCAGGAACGCGAGGTGAGCAAGGTCCACATGGTCTCGGTGGTCCAGACGGTCCTCCGGGACATCCGGGAATTCCGGGGCCAGCGGGTCCTAAAGGGCCACTCGGCGCAAAGGGGCCACCTGGAGATAAAGCCATTGCAGGTTAGTGCTTCCATCTGCAGAGTAAAAGAGAAGTTTTTCAAAGCGTAGCTTCCAAAAGTTCACGTCCAGTCAGTTCATCCATATTTTCTATGAAACAACAACAACGCACTTAAGTTCTGTCCATTACTCTTCATTAGATCCGGTTTTCAATGGAACTTGTGAGTTGAAAAAGTAGTTTATAGGGTAATCAAGCGCCATCGATATGTAAGATTTAATAATTGAGGTCCATTTCCAGGAGTTGGCATTAAAGGTCCACGAGGTCCACCGGGTTCTCGTGGTCCAATGGGACCTACTGGATCGTCTGGAAAACCATCAAAAACTCCAGGCACAGCAGGAAAGCAAGGATCAATGGGACCAGTAGGACCACCAGGATCTCCTGGAAGAGTTGGTGAGGATGGTCCTTGGGGACCACCTGGTGAACCAGGTATGTTTTTTGACTCTTTTGAGAACAAGTTCAAATAACTTTGATGAGCTTCATTCCTTAAAAGATTACGGATGACTAGTTCGGAACATCAGTGAGTTTGACGCAATTAGCCCCAATGCCATGCTTCCATATCTTTCAGGGCAACCAGCAACGTACTGTCCGTCTGACTGTGGAGTATCACAGATTTATGCACCGGCGTATTTCGATTCGTCGAAAGTGGATCCAGTCGAAGGTTCCCCATCATTCGCAACCGCATCTGATAACGGAGGACCAGAATATACGTGGTTCGAAAGATTGTAATGAACACACACGCATCAAAAACCATTTACCTCATTGTCTGTATAAACATTGTTCATGCTCAGCACACTTCGATAAATTCATTTAGCGCTGAAACGTCTCACCCACATCGATTTGATGACCACATGTTAGATAATGCGCATCAGCAAAGCATCACGTCCGGGATAATATTCACGACCGGAAAAATAGTTTGAATGGGAAACGTCAGTTCTTATTCATCAAGAGTTTCATACAAAGATTCATGACGGTAATTCTCCTCATGAATTCAATGAATTTCGAAGGCATGATGCAAGGAGAGAGAAGGAAACCACTTCCATCTGTGTGCTTTGAATAAGAAATCTTTCGCAATTGTAAACACTGAAATGATAGTTTCAGTTAAGTGACTAACAGTGAAGAACACACCGAATCGTTTCTCTATTTAACTGCTTCGCGATTTAACTGCTGGCATAATTTGGAGTACAACTTTCCATTGCTGCTCATAAAACCGATTCGCCATGATTTCGTGTAGATGATCAACAATAATCAATCTTAGAAGAATTGTCTATAGCAGGAATCTCGCAAATGACGATGAAGAACTGCACGACATCAGAGATGATTAAATTTACAAACTAAGAAGATGAAAAATTACACATCTGCAGTGCTACGGCACTGTAATGAGAACTGATAAACAATAGAACTGAATTTTATTCAATAATAAACAAATGTGAGTTGACCCATTGATGCCCACCGATCATTTCTCATCGCAATGAAGAGGACACGACTTTTCTCGCACATTGACGTTTCTGTCAGGAAGACTCACGCTTCACACTTACAAAGCAAGCTTCAAGAACTTTCATCGATTATACAAACACTTTGCGCGATTAGGTTTAAATTCAGGAGCAGTAACGAGGAAATATTTTGTCACGATACGAATAATTGTGGACATTGATGGGTTGAGATATGACAATATATTATGTTGAAACAGAATTTGATTTACATACGTCATTGATCGCTGTCTATAATCAACATAGTATTACACAAATATTAGTACTGTTATCATATATTTTAAGGCACAATAAAATTTGAAAACTTGTTCATTTTAGAAAACTTGACGCGTGATAAAATCTCGAAACAGTGGTTGGTATTACATCTAACGAAATGCGCTTGTAATGAGAAGTGAGGAATACATGGTTTGACGTAACGTTAGCATGACATATCCTCCTAGAGTATGGTAATGATTCCTAAAATATGATGTTCACGTCAGCTTCGACTCGTCGCATTTTGGTATCTTAAGAATGCATGACACTTCAAGACATGGTTAGTATGGGAAAGCTGGACAGTGTATATCATTTCGATGAAGCGAAACACCTTCTTTAATCCTCAGATACAAAGAGCCTTTTCAAAAAAATATCTTGCAGCACATCTGCGGAGGTGATGATCGCTTATCGAAATCAACTAACAAACGCTCAAGAAAAAAATGCCAATAAGTAATAAGTTATTTCCATACTCGTAACATAACTCTTTTTCCCGTTGCATTTGCAAGCAATATGACACTTCTTCAGTGATACAGTATCACTCAAAAAACAATGCAAACAAGAGTTCCAAAATATCATCAACGAACAGCTACTTCAGAACTGAAGCATTTTGAAGCAACTTTAGAATGTGGATAGTCCGAAATCGCATATAAACACGCGAAGGCAAATACGAGAATCATTACCAAAATAAGCGATAATAATGAAGCGCAAGGCAAAGCGAAGCTCATGAAACATTGACAATCCTTAGCATAGTGTTCATTCAGAATTTGAACTTTTCTACGCAATATCATAAAATTTTAACAATTTCATAATCGAAATTTTCTATGCACGAAATCGAACGTTTCATGGAAATGACGTTCTAAATCAAATAAATTACTCTTTCACGTGTATGATCAACCGATCCATACGCAATCGATAAACTGCATCAGAAGTGAGCTGGTGTTTTACTCTTCTTGTTTTCAATAGCATCGAGAATCGGTTGCCGTTTTGTTTGATATCGTATTTGCAGTTCTCGCAGCTCAATGTCCATTTCTGCCTCAAGACCCGCCTTCCTCCTAATCAATTCTTCTAAGGGCAATTCAGAAAGCTGAAATATTCAATCGATTTATGCGTGAATCGTAGCAAGTTTGACACATGTTCATTGGACTGAAATTTATATCCAAACTATTTTGCCTCCCTGAAGCTTCCTAAAATAACCATCCCAATGCAAGAAGATAACCAAACGACAGATCACAAGCCTGTCAAGGATGTTCGGTATTGATGAGATGAAATAAAGAGGTTGAATAATAACAACAAAAAAGACATCAGTAATAATATAAAGAACTTACAAAACTATAATCTCCATCAGCCGACATGTTATTGAAAGGTGCATCAAAAACAGAGGTGTTCACAAATGACGAATCGTCACTCGATGAAACTGTGTCTGGTGCACCGACCGGACCCGATCCCATGGCCATATTTGATAATAACATGTTTTTCGGCTGCTGTGCCAAATTATTCTGTTGCTCGATTATTTTATCATTCACGTAATATGCTTGTTCCAGTTGTCCGTTGAACATGTCGTGCTCATTCGACCCTTCAAAAAATCGTTTATGGAAAAATGTTTCGCTTTTGCAAATGATGGTTTATCAGGTGATTTGATCGAGTCAAGATAATTTTTTTGAACACTCTGCATTAATGAAGAATGAAGCAAAATGTACTGAGAGGAAAATGACTCGAAATTCGCCGAGAATACTATTGCAAAATCCTATAAGCTGAATGCAGTTCCATAAGACAAGATCATGTGTCATGTAACCATATCAAATTAAGACTCTTTTGACTTCGGGCTCTCCTATTGTACGACATTCATCGACTTCGGGCTCTCCTATTGTACGACATTCATCGACTAACGTCAACTCTCAAAGAGTGGGACAGTTGATAAATGTCACGCAACAACAAAGCGAGAAGCAAGCAAAGTGATCAGAGATCGAATGATGAGACCTTATGTCGCAACATTACGTCCTAAGATCATAAGCCTCAGGTTAAAGAATAACCAACATCATTTATCAATGTACTGCTGCATACCTTCGCAACATTAAGATATTCAATTATGTGCCTCGCATTCGACTATAACAGTCTATGCTCGGACAAATTAGAGGTAATTCATAAGTAAGGATGATAACCTTGACTGTACAAATTATTCTGCTGGATTCCAAGAACGTGGGTAGTACCACCTGGCGGAGGTAATTCGGAGAGACGTACTGACTGCAGCTGTGAGGCAATTGAATCTGATGTTGTTGATGTGCTGGTTGTGGTGGCTGTGGGCATTTGTACTGGTAGACGATCGGCTAAATTCACTATACGATCATTCACTCACGGAAATTCAGCTCAACCAATGCGGACAGATAGACAAGAACGTTACGGCTTAAGGAAATCTTCACATGACTTGAATAGCCAGATTAAGTTTTGAGCGAAAGAACTTCTCATGTGATGATACAATCAAAATTTCGCTTCATTTGAAAAGAATGGGGGTCAAACCGAGCGCATATGGGACATCGTGTTGTATCAAAGTGGCATCGTCGACATCACCCATATCATCGCCTGTATCAACACCACGTATCATCGTTCCCTCACCGGCCTCCTCATAGCGTGCCTTCAATCCATTTTTTAAAGTTATCATCATAGATCATTTCAATGTCGTTGGCAAAAGACTACATGCGTAATATGAAATGTACGATAATGTTCAACGTTTCGGCGTTATGTCATCCTCACAAACATCTTTTTCAATCACAGAAACAGTGTGATTCTTCAGAGATATCGATTATCTATCAACAATATGATAAGATCTCAAAGATATGAACCCAAATTTAAAAAAAAGACGCAGGTATCACTGAAGTTATCTTGATGCAACAATATTCCTGAAAGAGCTCTGAGGGATTGGTTAGGATCTTTAAAATTGAAAAGAATGAATAAGATGTGAATGGAATCAGAGGAACCTACATTTTCGTCATTACAACTGGCAGAGATGGAACGTGCATCTTCAATCATTTCTTGTAGAACTGTCGATGGAGGAGCGTTCACAATAAATGAGTGCTGAAACAGCTGGTTCATTAGCTCGTTGATAACATTCGATATTCACTTATATCTCATATCAAGCAGCATTTGAAGCTTTTTAAGGATCAAGCAATAACGACTCTACCGTTAAAAGAACGTTATTTATGATCAAAATGAGAAGCTAAACACTGTTCAGTCCCCTGATTTCGTTCACACAATATTTAGAGTGCTATCAAGAATGGAAATAGGGAAACGAAGAGAATAAGTAACGCGATACGAAACAAATAAGACAAACGTCGAGAAGTTCCTTTGCAAGCTTTCGATCCTCAGGATTCTTGATGAGACAATTAGCAATGAAATCGACAAAGTGAATCGACCATTCCTCAGGGTTCTTGAGAACAGGTGGAGGTTTTGTTGGAATCATGAATATCGCCTTAAAACAAGATTAACATCTCTGAAGAGAAACTCACTTCATTGAAATTCGTCTCTAAATTTCATTCACCTAATCAGTATTCGTTTTGAAAATACAACTCAACCATGCAACTTGGTGTCATATAAAATAGCATAAAGTATTCCAAAATAAAAACAATGATGGATGAGAAATGAATGAGCATTCCAGCAATAAAATTAATCACCCTCATGGGATGTATATCGGCGTGTGGTGGTCTTCCTTCAGCCATTTCCATACACGTTATCCCTAATGACCAAATATCCGCTTTCGTGTCATAACCAATCTCCTGAATCACCTCTGGAGCCATCCAAAATGGAGTACCTATCACTGTGTTCCTCTTTGCCATTGTATCCTGAAAATATCAGCTCTAACGAAAACTTTAAAAGAAGAAAAGGAGAGCAATTTTGGCATAATCACTTCTCTAAATATTTAATAAAATCATAACATTATCCTAATGATGCAGTATATTCGCCTATCAAATAAACCATTTGGTGAAGATGGAATGGAGAGATTAGTAAAATCTAACAGCTGAATGATAAATTTGAAATGAGTCAAGATTTTAAAAATTCACTTCGTACGACGCGAAACATGTTGAAGTCGTCGAAGTAAGAACGCGCAGAAAAGACGCAAAGGATTCAAACCATAATGATGAAATATTAGTTTGAATGGAAGTGAGGAAGTTTATGATATTAAAAGATTCACTGAGTATTCGATACAACAAAATCTCATTCCAGACATGAGAATATAATCGTGTGAAAACGAAATGAGACGAGAAACCGAACAGAACGCCTAGAGGTTGAAACAGAATCGTACCGTCAGCTGACCGGCCACTCCAAAATCAGCCAATTTCGCATGTCCCTCGGTATTCAATAAAATATTGCCAGCCTTAATATCGCGATGAATTTTCTTCAAATCATGCAGATATCGAAGTCCTTTCAGAACATCTCTGCAACATAAGGTTTATCATTCCAATTAGACCGCATAATTGAATAATCCTTACGTGTAGCATTAATTCTTCAGGTGTAAATGAAGCAGTTTAAGACGGAAAATACAGTGAATCAATGTTACGGTCAGCATTAATTTGCTTGGATTCTAAATTATTCACTTTTATGGAAACAACTAAAGTAATTGTTTAAGATTAAAAATTTATAAATTTCTTCACCTTGTCACAGCTGCAATCTCAGCCTCGTTCAGTGTTTTCCTTCGTAAGCGCATAATATCTGATACTGAACCGGCACCACAATATTCCATAACAATCTGAATTTTGTACGATTCTTTTTGCATTACACTGACTGGACAGTGAAATCAGCGAAATAACATATCACATTAGAAAAACGAAAACCACACCACAGTTGGACTGTTTCTCAGAATTATGAGAGTGATTGAAGGGGAAGAAAAACTGACAGGTCGATACACTAATTGAAATGGTTGCCGCAAAACTGATCGATATTTGAATGACGATAATTTTTTATAACGAAGATTCAGCCACAGAATATGCATTATCGAAAATGTAAAACAACGAAAATTTGAAACTCACCCATAAATCAGAATTCTTAAAATAAGATCCATAATATTTAACAACATATTTACTATCACACTGTTGCATAATGCTAATTTCTTTGATAATTTCTTGAAGATCCGTGTCGACGGGTACCTTCTTGATGGCTAGAACATGACCAGACTCACGGTGCACCGCTTTGTGAACCGAACCATATGACCTGAAATTACCTCTTCTACTGATTCCCCGATATTTCATGAAATTCTAAAACAACGATTACATTTCCTGAATAAAAAAAACAACATTTCCGATCAAGGAAGGTACAACCAAACAGAAACGAACCCTTCGCCAAGCTTTCCAACGATATCGAATACTTCTTCGGGTGGTTTATTGAGAGCGGTTGCATCTAGTTTGAAATAATCACTGAAATGAACTGAGATGACGGAATCATTCAATATTTGATGAGAGCATCGCAGTTTATGAACATGCAGAAAATACACTCTAAAATACATTGCTACAAATTCGAACACCTGAAGGATAACTAGGTTATGTGGCTCATAAAAATTCCAAGGTGCACATCCTTCAAACTGCTCTAAATTAAAGAATCTGAACAGCAATGAAGTGAAACTGTACAGCTGAAGTGCAAAGTATATCATTTCTCACCTTGACGCCTCAGAATTACGACGCCTTTTTTCATCAGTCATAATGTTGAGAAAGCTGAAAAATATCGGACTGTTATGATAAGATAACTTGGGAGTGTGAATTTTGAACGTTGTACGGAACGATCAATAAATGGTCTGTTAATGAGCGAAAACGATCCATAAAATTAATGCGAATGAAATTCAATATACGAGATTCACAGGGAGTAATCAATTCACACTGTGTAATGAAACAATACATATGTGAATTCAATAATAAAATTTACACATTGAAACACACAAATCATTTTACATAGAGCGGTTGGATGAATAAAATGATGGAAGAGTGTAAAAATGGATGGAGTAATTTCTTTGGATGACACATGTGGAAGAGATGATGATGATCCTAGAGGAGTTCAAATAAAGATGAATCGAAAAATATGAATGCATCAATAAATAAGTACTCGTGACATCTCAATAAAGTTTACTATCAAAAAAAAAAA